TGAGACTCTGCGATTCATCCTCCTAGCTTTTATCACAGCCCCACACCCGGTGGGAACCCTGATGTTGCCAATGATCTCGTCCTCTGTCCATTCCACAGGGACGTCCCTGACAATGCCCATTCGGGTAATGTTGAATTGTGGGATCGAAGTTGTGTAGTTTTGAGCTACCATACCATTGACTAAAAAACTGTTAGCATCCTGGTGCGTCACAAACTCAACCGAAACTCTATTCCTCCCCAGCCGTTTGACACCACCGATCTTAACATTATTAATGTTTAATTTCATTAGGAACATACCAAACTTAACTGGGTGAAGCGTGGTGCCAGACGTCTGGGAGTCCTTAAGAGACACATAAACTATGTAAGGGGGATTGTCCCTGGCCGTGTAACATTGCCTACCATTTACACTTTTCGCCAATTTCGGGGGGTTGTTTTGGGTGATAAGGGGGGAGCCTGCGGGTCGTTTCCGGGATTTTGAAACTTCCGCGTCCATTATTTCGATATCCGGGGTGTTCGGAGGAAGGGTAATTGTGACTATAGTTTCCGTCTCATATTCCGGGGATTTATCGGGATCAGGAGGATCGGGTGGCTTCACCTCGTCCATTTCGGATTAAAAAGATGCGGATGGGCAGAGGAAAAAATAGATTAAAATATATTTAAAAACACCAATACCTGAAACTTACACACACATACACTTAACCAACACAAAAACACAAAATTTAAAAGATTTCAATTCAGATCACTATGAAATAGATCACTTAAATTGAAAATAAACGTAGGAGTGACAAAAGCACGTGCGTAACCTTCACCACTACCAACGAAAGTCATATCTTTTAATTTTTAATAAATTTAATAAAAATCTATAGTTCTGTCTATTCTATCTTACTATAGTATCATAAAAGTGTGTGTGTTTGTTAGTTTGTTACTTCTTTATGTCAAAACGGCTGAAAGAATAGTGGTAGATTAGGATCTGGAATCACACATGTCTTAGTCACAAGTTTTTATCGCACGCTATATAGCCGCTGGCAGAAGCTAGCTAGAAGCTAGAACCATAAGTATTATGAACTCCGCCGAAGCGAAGTATTAAAAAAAAATCCCAACAACCTTTCTTCCCTAAAGGTTTGTAGGTCCAAACATTATATCACTGTTTTGATTGATACATGAACCAGGTATCATCCTTGACTTCATCAATCTTGGAACTGATCTTCGCATTGAGCTGGTCGATCTCATTCCTCGTAGTAGGACAACGCGTTTGCTGCCATTGTTTACGAAGTTCCATCTTCCTTTCAATCATGGTCATGATGTGCTGAGGAAGCTTCATTGGAGGGTTTGGAGCTCGTGGCAGTTCTTGAACTGTGCTTTTAGAAGTAGAAGGCGTTGATGCTTCAGCCATATTTCATTTAGCTCCGCAATGTCCAGCACGACCAACACCAATCGAATTCATTTCCGTGTATGCGCGACCTAACCAAACGCCGGAGAATCTTAACACCGCGATGTAGATCTTTGACGTTTTTATACAACGCCATCTATCGAGTATGATGTAAGTTTTTAAGGTAATCTTCGCAATCATTCTACATCAATAGTAGTTTAGTACAAAATAATAACGTTATATGATAAATAAGTTTGATTTCCTACAAACACATACAGGATATCCCTGAAGTCGACGATCAAATAACACCAGGTGATCGGCATCATTATCATATGATGCACGGCATATTACTTGTTTCCATACAACTGGAATTGTTGAATATCCTTTAGAGAGACGTGATGCACAAACTTGTTCTTTTAGTGACAATATTGCCGAAGAATGCTGCGAACGAAATCATGAGTAGACTGATGATGTGGTTTAATAAGAGAACCTAGCCGATTTCCAACATTTTTAGCAACACGATGATGGCATGTCGCCTACAAAGTGTTACCTAGTGGATACTAGGTTTTTAGGTGCGCTTTGGGTACCCTTTGTTGTGGCTTCATTTATAGATTTAATAGATAGTGCAAGAGGAAAGTTTATAAAATACTAAATTCTACCCGCGGCTACCGTGTAACTAACACGACTTTCTATATATATGTTATATATCACACTATAAATACTATAAATGAGAAAAATTTTTTGTTTGGATGTTTGTCCGTCAATCACACTGAAACGACTTGACGGATTTTGATATAATTGGCTCACTTATGTGATAGGATACTCTATATCCCGATTAAATACTCCTGTAGGATAAAACAGGAATCATATTCTACGCTGACGAAGTCGCGGGCAACAGCTAATGTATTATAATACATGCATAAAAATACTAACTAGTGTTGAAGACTCCAAGGTGGTAAAATACTTTAAACCAGTCCAGTAGAATTAATAGCGTGTAATCCGAACAATGACAAAAAACAGTATGAGGAGAGGTTACGGAAAAGAATGAAATTGCGCGTACGAAGTCGTGCACAGAAACAAGTTGTTAATAAATATAAGATTAACACATTGGATGCCGTGTCGGACAATGATGTCCGACGCTAGCGGAGGATTGGCCCTTAACAGTTTTGTCAGCAGTTAAAGGCTTAATGAATCAACTGTATTATGTGAGTGTTGGGAAAGTGACGGTGCCCGTGCCCATCGCTCTCCCAGCAGCCTACCCAACCTTTCCGGTTTATTATGGCCCTTAGAACAAACGATTTTAAAGTTATAATAAACTCCGCCGAAGCGAAGTCGTCAAAAAATATCTTTAGACTCATTTGAGTGTTCCCCTCCACGGAAATCTTTAGTAAAAGGCGAAAGATTTATGCGTTTTGAAGGGAAACCAGAGTTACCATACGTCGAGCGGCCGAGGGACCTAACCAAACGGCGGAGAATCTTAACACCGCGATTCACAAACGTGACGTCATCGCACAGTGACATCTAGCGGAACAAGTATGGAACTACACATGACAACAAAGAATGGTTAGGGGAGCATTGTCATACACTACGCCCTATTCTAATAATACCAAGGGTGCACTAACAAAAACAACCAGAGGTAAGAGGGGTTGTTTTTTGTTACCTTTGGTTTATAAAGTCTTTTTGAAGTCAAAATATATTGCCTATTTTGACTTAAAAAAGGCCTTTGACAGCGTTAAGAATGACATACTGTTAACCAAATTTGCGATGGCAGGGTTCACGCCAGATTTGCTCCAGTTTTTTGCGAGTTATCTCGGGAACCGAAGGCAATACGTCGACTACTGTGGACATGTATCGGACCAATATCGCACGCTATCTGGTGTAAGCCAGGGTAGCAACCTTGGGCCATTAGAATTTATTCTAATGATTAATGATCTACCAGAGGTGGTCCAGAATGCGTGTTGTTTGCTCTTTGCTGATGACTTAAAGCTTTTTCTACGTGTGGTCGATGATGAGGATTGTAAGCGCCTACAAAATGACATTGATCTGGTAATTGATTGGAGTCAGAAAAACAAACTCTTCTTCAATGTCAACAAGTGCAATATAATGTCTTGTACGCGTGCCATGTCTCCGGTGCATCATCGATATCACATGGAAGACAGTGCCATGCCTCGTGTTGAATCGGTCCGGGATTTGGGTGTGCTTATGACCAAAGATTTGTCATTCAGGGAGCATATCGCGAAGGTTTGCTCTAAAGCTTACAGAAGTTTGGGTTTCGTAATGAGAGAGACAAAGGAGTTTAAAAGTATAGCAACAATAAAGATACTATACAATGCTTTGGTTAGGAGTCAATTAGAGACGAGTGCTATAATCTGGAACCCTCATGAGGTGAAATACAGCCTCATGGTGGAGAAGATGCAAAACAAGTTTACTAGGTACCTGTACCTAAGACAATATATATTTTTTTTTTATTTTATGCCATGTGCCTGAACTAGGTTTGAAACCTGTACCTCAGGCAATAAAAACCGCTTAGCATAGAGAACTTAAGGTCTAATTAACAATAATTATATAATCATTCTTATATTAAATTATTTGATTACTCAAATTATACCTATATATAGAAATGTATACCTAATCACTTAATAAATTAATTTGTTTCCGGAGTAATATGGAGTGTACCCGTATTACCCACTCATGTATCCTTCTCTGTTTGTTATTGGCATGGTGGGATACTATAAGCTGGAGGTCAGGCGAGAGGTTGCACTCGCAAAGTACGTGTTTGAGGTTTTCCAAGGTAAACAGAACAATCCATCCATACTGGCTTCGTTGAGGTTGCTCGTCCCAAATACAAAGCTAAGGCTGAGCCCGAGGCAGAGACTATTTGAGGTTCCCACCAGTCGCACTAACATAGGTCGATATGCTCCTGTGGCTAGAGCTATTAAAATAATTAATGGAGTTGGACAAAAGGTTGATATTTTCTGTTGCTCATTGGCGGAGTTCATAAAGGTAACGACTGATGTTGTTAGTTGTACATATGTAGTTAATGGATAAGTGCAAATAATATGTATGGCTGTGTTGTTGTTATAAGTTTTTGTATTAAGTTTTTATTTAAGTTTTTTTTTATTAATGTTAATTATAAGTTTTTATATTAAGTGACAACATTATCGCATTGGGTGTAACCTGTCAGGATATGTTGTTGAATTAAATAAATAAATAAATAATGGTTATTCTTAAGAAACATGTATTATATTAAAATATAACAGCTGCATTTATTCAAATCTATCAAATAACATGACTTATTTTTATATCTGTATGCAATTTCTCTTGTTTCAATATTCACTAGTTCAGAAATCAATTAGTGTACCATTTTATTCGTATTTTTAGCTTGATTCAAACAATTTAAAATGTATTTACCGCTTTATACTACGTCATATTTACCGTCGCAATATCTTTAAGTTTTCTTTGTCGTAAATATATTTTGTCATACATGTAAGTGAAGTCTCTTAAGTATTTGTCTCATTTTGAGAGAACAATTTCCTTAAAAATGTGTTTGGACCACCGATTATTAGTTTGTTAAGAATAGAACATCACGTATTAACAAAAAACGTACGTTAGTTAGTGGTGATATTACTCACCGTAGGAAAAACGTGGCGATTCCGAATATCGTGGTGAACAGAGACAGGGTCACGAACATGTATAGCACCGTCTGTGTCTGTGCAGCACGCCAAACCTGGAAGCAGTTAGAGATTCATTTAGTAAATTGAGAAAAAGCTTAGTTATAAAATCCATCCTCAACGCTTTTCTCCGGAAATAGTAGGTCAGGAATTTGGTAGTTTTCTATGGTATTTTTCCAAGATGGCGGCGCGAGTGGCGAGCCTACAAAGGTGCTAAATAGAAATCGAAAAGAGCACACCAAACTCTAAAAAAATACCGATTTTTAAAACACCCGGATAATTATTCCCCCATATTTCCTACTTAATTATCTGTAGTGACAAACATGTATCTCTGGTGCATGAAATATGTTAAGTCCATAATTGAAGTTTTTTAGTGCACATTTAATGCATGATTCACGTTTTTAGGGCTTATGTAACTCATTACACTTATATACGATTAACAGCATAACTTAATGGTTGCTACAGCTGGTTGCTGTAAGCTATGTGTGAATGATTTTCTAAATCTATATCTATCTAGTGTAAATTGTGTACATTGAAAATATTAATGAAATAAATAGTGTTCCTAGATAGATACCGAAACAAAAATGATTAAAAAAAAGGCTGTCTGTCTGTTCACGCATCTCGCAAAAACTATCAATCCAATTACGATGAAACTTCGCATGATTGCACTTTAATATCCTGGGTATAGGTAACACTGGCTACTTTTATGCCGAAAAAACAAACTTAATGCCACAAGTAAATCAACATTTTAACTATTTTGTGCATTTTTGAATGCATCTACATGAGCAGTTTGTGCGTGGCTTCGTTTGCGTCATAATTAAGTATTATCCGCTTTTTATTCAGATAAAAGGTTCTAATGGGGATGATGACAGGGTATGAAAATTAAAAATATAATTAGTCCGTAAGTTAGGTAATGAAAAAATATTAGACACGTATTTTTTTATTTTGTCGTATAATAAAACAATACTTAGATAAAACGAATCAAAGTTTAGGAGTGGGGGCTAAAACGTCATTCCTTAGTATAAAATGTACTGAGAAGTGACGTCACGCGACATTTCAAATCAATATATCTTCGAAACTATTCGTTTCTGTGAGAAAATAAAAAATACGTGTCTAATGTTTTTAAATAATCTGTCAGACGGACATTAAAATAAAAATTAGTCGTCTACCCCATTATTGTTTTTATAATCCTTACTAATATTATAAATCGGGAAGTGAGTTTGTTTGTTTGTTTGTTTGTTCCGCTTTCACGCCGTAACTACTAAACCGATTGCTTTGAATTTTTACAGACGTAAAGTTAGAAGTCCGGATTAAATAATAGGGTACTTTTTATCCCGGAAAAATGTGATATTCCCGAGGGAAAACTAAAGTATTGGTATAGATGGCGCTGTGTGTATTGATTTATGTCACATAGGCTACTTTTTATTCTTTTGTGACGCGAGCGAAGCTGCGGGTAAAAGCTAGTGTGTTATAATTTAAAGTAGGCTGTGCGGTAATATTTCAGTTAGTCAGATTTCAGATTTTTATGGGATAAACCGGTAAACGAGCATACGGATTACCTGATGGTAAGCAATTGGTGTCGCCCATGGACACTTGGAACACCAGAGGCGTTACAAGTGCTTCACCGGCCTTTTGATTAGGAATTTGAAGGTTATAGGGGATTCAGGGATTGGGCAATTGGGCCTCTGGTAACCTCACCCAAAGGATGAAATACAACGCAAGCGTTGTTACACGTTGTTTTTCTGCTCGGCCGTGGTATCACTTCGGTCGAGCCGGCCCATTCGTGCCAAAGCATGGTTGTCCCACGCTTAATTCAATGGCAAGGTTCCCCCGTTACCTTCCTGGCGGGGCGACAGGCGCGGCGCGCGACCTCCCGCTTGACGTAGAACAGCAGCAGCAACTTGGCGGCGAGCGCGGCCGCCAGCGCCGGCGCGAACACCGCGCCCAGCCACACCACGCCCTGGTTGTACAGCAGCGTCAGCGAGTTGTACGCCAGGTTGAACTCCGGAGGACTGCCTTTGTTACTCCATCTGAAGTTACATTTCATATACAATTTTTATTCTTCATATAAAAAATCTTATCATTATTGTAAAGTAACATACTAAAACTCACAAAACATAATTGGTGTATCAAACACAAATGAACGTATGTACAAAATAATAATAATAACAAAAAACTCACTTATAAATTAAGCCTCTAGTGAACTCAAAGAGTGGCAACACAAGCAAAGATATGATGGAGTCTAGCAACATCAGCCGGTACGCCTCCTGACCGAACGAAGTTTCCCAACACTGGAATAAAAACGTGGGGAAAGCGAAATAAAATTATGGAAGCGGATAACTCATACACCGTGGCACAGCTCCACTTGCTTTATATACATTTGGCTTCAATATTCACAAAACAAATAAGACCGTAATACATACAACATTGATTAGCCACGCCCAAGTTTTAAGTGTGGGCCCACAGAAAACCGACGTGAAGCAACACTTGCGTTGTATTTCGTCGTGTGAGTGAGGTTACCGGAGGCCCAATTACCCTCTCCTTCCGCAATCTCCCTAATTTCTGAATCCCCAACGATCCTCAAACTCCTAATCCCCAAAAGGCCGGTAACGCTCTTGTAACGCCTCTGGTGTTCCAGGTGTCTATGGGCGACGCCGATTGCTTACCATCAGGTGATCCGTCTGCTCGTTTACCGGCTTATGCCATAAAAAAAAGTTGTACCACGTATTATCGGCGAAGACTTTTCTTCCGGTTTATACAACTGACAGATGATTTAGGTCGCATAAATAAGTATCGATTTTAAAGCATTCACTCATCAGTACGTGAATGTATGTATGTAAGCGACAGGGGTTTTGTATTACGTGTTGAATCTATACAGCAGCTGTAGCCAAATGCCATTTAGCGCTTGTCTACAATGTAGAATAGAAAACCAAATTATATGAACCTGACGTAAAGTTTGACACTTGTCAGTGTCATCTCCATACTCTCTGTAGACAAGCGCTAAAGTGGCGTTTGGATAAAGGCACTGGTGTATGCAAAATTAGTAAGGATGTATCTAAAACCATTTGAATATGACAAGTGCAAGTACATAAAGTCGAAAATCGGAAAACTTTTCAAAATTAAAGTGTACTTGCTTGTTCTATTTTAAATAATTTCGCTTACCTGATCCGCATGTGTCTGTGACCAGTAGACTAGCAGTACCATGAGTATACCGATGTCAAGCAGCCAGGTTCGAGCCAATGTCACGTATAGTGCTGTACGGGGGTTGTAGAACTCTAACCTGGAATGTGAGACGATTTAAGGAGTAAATAATGTTGATTTGTTTGACGTTCAAAAGTGCCTGGTCTAATTAAAATAAATGAATTTGACTTAGATTTTTTATTTTGGATTGAATCAAAAGTAAAAGAATGATGTCATCAGGTGAACAAAATGTGTATCCTGCTAGGCTACTGCTAGTTGAAGAGGAAAACTATGTATAAAACTATTGGTGCGTAGGCTGCGCGACATCGCCAAAACCGCCCACGCTGCTCATGAATAAGAGCCCCTCTATGGCTCGAAACTAGTAGAGATTTTCTCAGCATTTTCACGTGTGTGTGTGTTCATTTTCATTTTCACCCGCGATTTTTAGTAAATAAAAATAATATCGAGTTGTTTTTGCCTACATCTCACGCCTTTGTTTTCAGATTAAGTGTTATATGGTTAAAACAAATAAGTGATATATCGACGTTACAATTATTTCAGTCATCATTTATTGGCCAAAAAGAAATACTAACTTGACGACCACGTGGAACATGAGTGGGCACAGAGTGAGCGCGGCGGTGAGCGCGACAGACAGCAGTAGCGGCCAGTGCGGCAGCGGGTCGCGCGCCAGCAGCGCCCAGCCCGGCAGCGGGCCGCGCGCCGCCAGCAGCGCCCAGCCCCCCGCCGCCACCGCGCACACCAGCGCCACGCTCAGCGCCCACACGCACACGTTGCACGCGTACTGGCCCACCCTCACCAACCACCACGTTGACGCCTTCTTTCTATTCTGCTCGTTTAGTAGCTCCTGGAATTATTTATACGGCTCTACACATTGGGCCAACGTATTGGGCCAAATGTAAGGTCTCAATGTTCGTCCACGCCATTGTAATTCCCGAACAACTCGCGCGCGACGACACTACAGTAACGTCTTTACCGACGAATGACAACAAACTAAATGCGACGCCAATGTGTGAACGCCATTTGTGGAGCGCGCCAAGATCGAAGTTTGAAATGGTATACTCCCGAGATGGTCCCATTTCCATGAGGTCAGGATCAGATAATGGGATCCTAGGGAAACCGAGGGGAACTTTTGAAAATTCTAGGGGCGAGTAATGCGTCTATTATGTTTTTCAATTAGGAGTCGACTTGATGATGGAGCCGACAGATAGTCAAGATTTCCGTGGTGCTTGGCGACTGGGCTTCACCCAGTTGTAGTCTCTTCTTTGTGCCTTTAGGCTTAATTTATTCTGTGAAGTGGAAACTATAGTTTTTCTTCTTCTCCTCTTATAATATCTTCTGATTCACTTCGTTGGTTGCGGGAACCAAGACAGTTACTCATGTCCCTGGGACGCGCCGGACTTCAGTGTTCCGGTGTTTTTATGGTTGTATCTACTGTAGATCCTGGCTTACAGGAGTTGCAGCGGTTTTGGGAGGTTGTGGCGGGCTTATCCCAAATTTAAAAAAAAAGACAGTCGAGTGGACTTCTCAGCGGTTTATATTAACTACCTTGTGTTTGGGCTTGATTATTTTTTATTGATGAGGACTTTACACCTAGATAGAGTGGGGCTGTCATTAAGGGTCTGATGATGAGGAAGTGTAATTGTTAAGGGAACTCCTCAACGGTATACAGTAACTACCTTGTGTTTGGGCTTGTATACTTTGTATTGATTAGAACTTTGCACCTATGCAGATTATAAGTGACAAAACGGACATAGATCCGTCCGTAGCTTTACACTAAAAATGAAAAAATAATAAAATAAAAACTGCGTTTAAAAACCAACTTAAAAAAACCAAAAACTAATAACAAACAAAAAGTTTATAAGAACCTTCTCCTGACGATACCAAACACAACAAAAACAAAATCAGTTAAATCGGTCTAGCCGTTCTCAAGTTATTTATTTATTTTAATTCGGGTAACTAACAGCTATATTACAAAGAATAAAATTTCAGAATATGCTAATACAAAGCTAATTATAGGTTTCCAAGCGTAGCTATAGTATATCTTTACAGAGGTTTTGCGAATGCAATGCACATAAAAGTATACAACATGGATATTCATTCAAAAAATTTAAGGTTTAGTCGCCTACGCACCCTGGAACTGCTTGTGGTAAATGGAACAAATCCTAAATCCTTGCACAATCTATTATAATCCCTACTCACTCGCACAATATAGGAATTTTGTCTATAATTTGAGGAAGAAGTTGGGACAGCAATTGGTGGGTTAAAACGAACCGACTTTTTCGGAACATTGAATGACAGCTTATGCAAAAGGTCTGAGCAATCGATTTCGCTATTCAGTATCTCAATCCGCTATTCGACGGCGATTTATATATTTATGTATATAAATATATACCTATATAGATTTCCAATCACTTATAGGTTATGTTTACGATATCAGATCTAAAAACATATAAACATAACCAAAACTTAGGTAAGTTAAGTATTATTTATTTTTGTAAAATCACATATTTTTAAATACATATACTTACATCAAAGTGGTCTTCACAAAATAATATCGCAGATTTATCAGGTCTAAACTGTGGGTGTCGGCGTTTAGGAAATTTAGGAAAGTGTATAAACAATTTTTGGATATTTAATTGTCGTACTTCTACACATAGGCACGGTACACGTTTTTAAGCTTACCATTTTTACAATTATACGAAATATCAATGTCCAATGTTGTTTCTACTCAACCGTATGAGAAACCGCTGTTTGTTTATTAGAATATGACGTCATAGCTCGGAGAGGTCACGTGATCCAGTGTTTAAGCGCGAATTAAAAATCAACAAATAAAAATAATTATTTTCTCCATAAAATAAGACTTCTGATAAAAATATGATCGTAAGGGGTTTTAAATTAAAGTTAACTTTAACTTAACAATATTTTTCCGGAAATCATCAAATAGACAATAAGGTAGTTGCCTGAATTTTATTTTAATATCCGTCTGGTAGATTAATGTAAAACATTAGACCCATATTTTTCTTTTCTCACAAAATTAAATATTTTCGACGATATATTAATCTGAAATATCGTAGCACTTTGTGACGTAACGACCCACGCCTAAAGTTAACTCCATTTTATCTAAATATTGTATATTTTTTCATTATCTAACTGATGGACTAATTAGATTATTAATTTTCATTCCCTGGCAACTACCTTATTGCTACGATTCTTACATGTTTCTTTCGCTTCCTCAGCAGTCGTCAGTCTTGATGACTTCGATAATGAAATGACGGTAAATAGTATATTGGTTCATATTTACCTTAAACTCATTGTAAAGACTGTTGGCGTTAAGTTTGGCGGCCTCCGGCGTGACGACCCCGAAGTCCCAGCCACAGAACACTTTGTTAGCGAACACATGGCTCAGGCCGCCTGACGTCTCTATGAAATTCAGCCGATATGAGTACGCTGTCCTGAAAGATTTATGAAAAAATTGATGAGAGATTATTACGTTGGTTTTGCCTTTTTATAATATAATAATAATAAAACCTTTTTATTCAGATAATAATGATCCAATTGGTTAGTATTACAAAACTTACGACTAGTGTTGTGTTAGTAGTATAACTTAATGTATATGACCCCTGCCCGATCCATAACTGGAGGTATATTTTTATGCAAAAAAATATTAACGACTTCTCCAGCCTTTTTTTTAAGGGGGAAAATCATCGAATGACTGCTCCCGCCTGGGCGAGGCGGGAGGGAGTGTCAGACTCTTACTGACTAAAAACCACCCCGTTCCTTCTCCTGCACGTCGAGCCGGAGCCGCGGTTACCCGTTACACTTCTCCAGCCTTGGGTGAGGCGAGAGTGTCACGACTCTTACTGAGTAAAAACCACCCCGTTCCTACTTCTGTCAGGGCTATCGCTCCGGTACTTCGAATGTTGGTTATGTGCCATATACTTTACAATACGGTATTTGACAACTAGTCAAATTCAAATTCACAACTTTTTTCGAACTGCCAAAAAAGACAGTTTTCTATAAATTTTGTACGGAATTTGTACGGTTTTTATAGCGTCGAACAGCGTACTTATTTCTTAAAATTTTGCTGTAAAATACTAAAATTAATAAAATAAAATTAATAAGTCATAAAATCAATTATTGAAAGTGTGTGTAACAGTCGAAATAATTTATTTTTGATTAAGGAAAGTACTCGATTATAGTTTCAGTTAATTTTGTTGTTATTTCTATACATGCTATAAGTAAAAAAATCCAAAGCAAAATACTAGAAATTCGTAAAGAATGCTTGAATGTTCCGAGATTATCTAATGATGAAATGTAGATATAAGTAAGTAAGTAAGTTTTTAAGAATAAAACACAGTAAGTTCTCACCTGTAACAGAGTATACCGAAGAACAAGAGATACAGACAGACCATGGTGAAGAAGTATGCGTACGGCATGTTGTACGTCAGTGAGGACTGCGCGCGTACGTCACCTGCGTGATAGTGTCCGTAGTACAGGAGGGAGTCTGATAGACCGCCCTGGAAGCAAGTGGTAGATTTCATATAAGTATGCTATGGAAATTATTTTTCTTTAATTCGTTACAATATGTATCAAAATTGTGATCAAGCCCGACGATTTACGACCAAGATCCACGTGTGAAATAAAATCGATTGTTTCTGACTCAAAAACTGCTGAACCGATTTTGATAAATAATATGAAAATTGGTTGGGCGGGTTATTATGTGTATTTTGGGAAAGTAAAAATTAGTTCGCATTCGTTTTTCTTAGGAGTAATAGATGATGGAAAAAAATTCTTACGCTTCCTTATAATTTATTATGTATGTTAATTCATCAATATTTTCATGTACGCTCGACGTGCTCATCAATATCGTAATTAAGCTCTTCACTTCATACAACTTAAACTTACCATTCCAGTAATAAAATCCATGAACGATAACTTAGTACTATTAGAAGTTTCCACATCATGGAGTGCTTGAGGAATGATGACGAATGCGGTGATGAGGATGGAGAGCAACAGATTCAGCGCGAACAGCCAACGCAGGAAGTAGAAGTAGGAGCCCACTGCTGAACCGAAGTGACCTTCGATCTGACGGATAGGTTCGTACCAGAACTCGAAGGAAAATACTACGTCACGGCAGCGATCGCGGATCTGAAGAAGGAAATTTTATCTATAAGCATAATTTTATTTAATTTAGTATGTTTTACGGCTTACTCACGTAGCTGTTTGAACGAACTCGACTAGTTTCAAGCGAAATCAGAGGCTCATATCAACAGTCACGTTAGTAAGCCGAAAAACATGATGATTAATTTAGAATGTCCCACGAAAGTTATAAACATTATTTTATTATCATGATCATCACTAGTCTGTGTTCGTACATTGCTATGTTAGATAGATAAAATAATATTTCTAACCGATCTCACTCACTGACCGATCTTCTTGCTTTCACATTTAATTTTCTGTACAATAGTTGTTTTGCTCATATCATAATGATATAACTTAATGTCCACAAAATTGTGAATTAGGTATCTATTAAGGTTTAATGAATAATTTTGTATGGAACTTATGGCACCGACTTCTTACCTATCAGTGGGTGGGTACTAATAATAGTTATTTTTTGCTTTTTAGTTTTGACTTTTTGTTTGTTATTAGTTTTTGGTTTTTTGAAGTCGGTTTTTAATTGAAAACTAGGTCGTGGCATGGATCGTAAAAAGAAGTGTGCACTTCTGTTATTGCTTGCGATGCGTAGAGGGAGCTCACACTTTTTTGCGATGTGACGTCCCATAGCAGTTTTGAGTACGAAGGTTAGGTCCGTGCCTAAGGTCTCTGTGCAGGAATCACACTAACATTTCGCGTAGCAGCCGGACACATCGTACATTAAGTTAAAGTAAGTAGATCGTGCAGTTAAACATGACATTAGGATTAACCCCATTGCCGTATGGGTAATAACATAAATGTCTTTTTTATGGCATAAGCCGGTTAACGAGCAGAAGGATTACCTGATGGTAAGCAATCGGCGTCGCTCATGGACACCTGGAACACCAGAGGCGTTACAAGTGCCTTTTGGGGATTAGGAGTTTGAGGATCGTTGGGGTTCAGGGATTAGGGAGATTTGGGAAGAGGAGGGTAATTGGGCCTCCGGTAACCTAACTCACACGACGAAACACAACGCAAGCTTTGCTTCACGTCGGTTTTCTGTGAGGCCGTGGTATCACTCTGGTAGAGCCAACCCATTCGGACCGAAACATGGCTCTCCCACACTTATGTCTACGCACTACCTTTCCATGGTACTTTTAAAAAAAATATCAATTACTATAGTACAGTTAGTACAGAAACTTACTCTTTTCCACATAAAACTAATTCGATACTTCATCCGTTTCCACATGGAGATGGGACGCCGCTTCGATCGGAGACTGACTGAAGCAGAGAGCTTGGCACGGACGTTCCTCTTCATCGTCAGCCCCTGAGGGAGATCTCTCAGGGCCTCTCTGGAAAGTTAAGCAAATATTTAATTTATGAGAGAAAATATGTAAAAAGGAAACTTAGAGCACAGGTATTGGGCACAGTGATCAAAGTGGTTTAATTTTGAATAGTATAAAACATTTAGTTTTGAAAAAATTACTATTGCACGCAATATAATTATCTCTCACTGCCTCGTTGGCCGAGTGGTCGCAAGTGCGACTGCCGGGCAAGGGGTCTTGGGTTTGATTCCCGAGTCGGGCAAAGTATTACTGGGTTTTAAAAATTCTCAGTGGTAGCACGGAGGCTGGAATTGTGCCCGGTATATGGCAATAGGCTCACCCCCTATTACATGGGACTCATAACATTAAACTGTCAAATACCAAGCGGTCACCGGTGACCGCGACCTATTGTTCTTTAATTGTGTCTATAAAACCGGTACTCGACGAGTTAATAGTGAAAAGCAGGTGTTACATTGTACAGTGGCATAATGTGCACCTCTGCCTAGCCCTTCGGGGATAAAAGGTGTGATGTTATGTTATGTTATGTATAATCTCTCACCTCCTCAACTCCTCAGCACCAGGGTCGTCCTCCATGAGCCGTTTATGCTGTTCCATCTCCCGGACGATAATGTCTGCCTGCTTGTCAGCGGCATCAGGAGGGTCCATCTCCGCAGAGTCGATCTCTTCCAGTAACGCATTGTGCTCGGAGTTATTACGCCGCAGTCTTAATGTGTCTGTGAAAAAGTAACAAAAGAAAAATGAATCTAACCAATAACATTCTCTAAAAGATTAGCCAAGTCTCAATGGAGCCGCTCGTTCATATCCAGAAAGAAATGAAATTTACACAAAGTCGTGCTAATTCTAAGGTTCCTTACTGCGATTTCTTAATTATAGTTAACTAGCTGGCTTCGCTCGCGTCACAAAAGGATAAAAAGTAGCCTATGTGACATATACCAATACACATAGCGCCATCTATACCAATACTTTTGTTTTCCCTCGGAAATATCAAATTTTTTAGGGTTAAAAAGTACCGTATTATTTAATCCGGACTTTTAACTTTACGTCTGCAAAAATTCAAAGCAATCGGTTTAGTAGTTACGGCGTGAAAGTGGAACAAACAAACAAACTCACTTTCCGATTTATAATATAAAATAAAATAAGTAAGGATAAGGAAGTAAGGATGTTGTGTGACTTTGAAGATGGAAAATTGTCATTAGGATAAAGTTGGTTGAATAACCAACGGTTTTGGCGACACACTGATGCAATGGTATCTTGCACGTGGTTTTGCACCCTTGTGTACCCTTTAACGGTCAAGTCACACCACATTAATAATAAAGAAATCAAAGTAAGAAATCAAACAGTGTGTCAGAATCTTCTATATCCTCATATTTTATAGGATCAGTAACAATTCTCAAATATAAAGGTTATATGTTGTATCTTGTACTTGAATGCGAATTTGATATAAGGAAAATGTAGGTGAAGTAGCATAAATATACAAATAGAGTAAACTAGAATAAATTACTCTAAACTAAGCCTTATGTAGAAAACTATAGGGTACATAACTAAGGTCTTATATAAACTACAACGTCACATTAATAGTACTTAATGATCGAAGTTAATAGAACATGTTTCGTCCTTCGAAACGAATGGTTAGGAGTTATCGCTAGTCATTAGATACACAATGTCAAACAGAACAATTTGCCTTGTAGTAGTTAGATAGATACCTATTAGTATGAATGCACCTATACAAGGTGTCTGGCGGTACGATAATAGTTCGCCTGTCTAGAGATTTGAACGTTAAACCGAGTTAAACAGTCAAAAAAGTTAAACAGTCTGCCGGCAGACATAAGGAGTGAAACAAAGTCAATTTATTTATTTATTTATTATTGTGATGTTAACACGGCTTTACACCAATTACATTAACACACATACAAAGAGAAATCAAAGAGAATCAAACGGTCACAATAACAGAAACAGAAGAAAAAAAATCAAATCAAATAGGTTTAAACGAAAATTGAAGTCATATTATTTAGAAATGTCCTAATAATAAGTAAGTATAAGTTTCAACGCCTGTATAACATTTAAATATAAGTACATTTAATTGTAATGTCTAGCGACTCGACCCCGCAGTCAAACCATTCCAACGGTGTTGTGGGGCTTAGATTATAAGATAGTTACCTGTGTGATATAAAGATAAATAAATAATAAAAAAGTTCGGTAATCCGCTCGCTCGATCAACAAGGCAATAATTGAACAGATTCATATGTTCCCAATAACAGGATATACAAAAATATCTATAACAAATCGACTATTACTTAATTATATTTTCCTAACTGGACTATTAACTAAACTTTGTTTTACTATGCTTCTACGTAGTATAAAAATCATCAAGCATTTAATTTCCAGAATAGGTGGCCATAGTAAGTTGTGACTTTCGCCAGACTTGTACAGTACTGAGAAACTATTATTTTTTCAAATATGCTGCTCTAACGCAAGATGGGATTAAACTAAAAACTTAACTTACTATGTATATATTTCAAAACATCAATCATTGCTCGACAGTAGTTAGAGGGAGCAAGTAAACAAATGCGGTACATAGGTACTATACATAGATACAGACGTACACCATATACAGACCAAACCAAACTACCTAACAGTTTTGGGACATACCCGAGTTATTTGTAACAACAACTTGTTACACCTTTACACTATAACAATGGGTACCTATGGTACCAGTGAAATTCTGATAATTTTCGTTCCAGAAAAAAGTTCCTCATAATGCCTATTATTATTTGTTTTTAATATACACACAAGAATATAAATATTTTTCTCAAACAATTATCGCAAATAAGTAAAAAATCAATGACAAAACTCTATAATTACCTCTATTAAGAGTATCCATCTCAAAAACTTCGATATCATCACCAAAATGCGACATGATCAAATTCACAACACTTCACACAGCTATTTACACTATTTTTAAAACACACGACACTTTGACGCGGTTTTAAATACATTCCTAAACTATAATACTATGTTCCAAGCAAACATTTGAATGTGTAATGCTGTTCGTACGGACTGCACTGTATGAAACAGAGCTAATGATCGAGTCTCGAACGTAAAGGTGTCTATAAACTAGACCGTAACATGTCCAACATAGATCAAGGAATAATAATGATTAAATAAAAATATAGGCATGTAGGATCGTAGATAGTGTCCCGTTTTCCTCGAAATGATAGGCATTTATAATATGTGTGTACACCCACTCATATTTCATCAGTATCACTTATCTACGTAAGTAATTAGTCATGGCATTTATTTTAGCAAGGATTTAACTGAAGAACCAGATATAATTAGACAGATCTAGAAATCCAGATTAAGACTTCTTCAGTCCTTCTTTTCATTGTTATAAAGGTTGTATACTCAATAATAATTAGGCATTACCTATAGTTTTCTAAATTATCTTTTTTCATAAAAGTAAAAAGTGTAGAATAAAAAATAACTGGTCATATCAGTCCCCGTCAGTAGGTCCGCAACTAGTGCAGACCTTTAACCGCCTAGGGAGCTAAGTCAAAGTGGATAACGATAATAATTTGATGGTAACATTGCATGTCGTCGTGACTGTGTTACACTGCAGTGAAAACCGACGTTTACGATAATTAGCGGTCGTTAGCAATTATCATCGTTTGTAACACATTTCTGAGTTAATAAACCCTTATTAAATGATAATTGAATGAACGCCCATCGAGCTGCAGGCACCTTTAAGTTTTAGTTGAGAACTTATTCTACTGTCCTTCTAAAAGAAAAGGCGTGAATCTTTGAAGTTCATTAAAGACATTTCGCTTCTCGTTGGATTATAATGAAAAGATCGAATACAGTTTATTTGATTAGTAGTAACATACTAAACAGTAGCGCTATCTTGTGACAGTTCACGATTTTAACGTAGATTTTGTGCCGTAAACTTACTGTAGGGCAGTTGTCGTGACGGCATGAAGTTGACGGCGACCTGCCTAGCCGCACTGTTCCTTAGCGTCAAGTTACGGCGCGCACTCGGCGGGCGAGTCTCCACCTCTTCGATTTCATCCTCCATATTTTTAATATCTGTAAAATTACATAGGAAATATTTAAATATGTAATGTAATGTCAAACATCAAAGTTTAAGTGTGGAAGAGCCATGCCTCGGCATGGATAGGCCAGCTAGACCAGAGTGATACCACAGCCTAACAGAAAACCGGTGTGAAACATCTCTTGTATCTAGAGGCGCTGATTACTTACCATTAGGAGATCTGTAATTGCTTACAAGCTTATGGCATAATAAAATGTTGCTGAGGAATAATACTTGACCCTGGACAATCTAACTCGAAACTCCATTGCTCCATTAAAATTTTACCTTAACTGGCAGGTCAGCCAAATAGAAATAGTTTTCTTATTGAAATAGTGTAATTTTTTTTACATAGAAAATCTGTTTTTGTCTCCTAAAAATGACACCAAAAATACAGACTGTACAGTGCACAGATATAATATGTACCATGTAAAATTCTTATAATTGACGTTGTTTTGTGTATAATAATAACTAGAGGAAAAATCTCGCACAAAGTTATAATATTGAAACAATAATGGGTAAATAGAAACATAATGTGATTTCCCACACTATTTTTTCTTAAATAATTCAGTACATTGTGAAATGCTATTCAATTTTAATTACTACTCATCAAATATTTGAGCACAAGAATAAAAAAAAAATTGGTTGCCTGTAAAGTCGGTATACGGGCGAAAGTTTTACGTGACAACGACTTTGAGTGGTAAAATAATTTTAATGTGAATATTCATTCGTATAGTAGGAAGAAGGATGAAATACTTCACTTTTTATGTCTGTCTCTCTCGCTCTTAGGCGGGCTAACCATGCCCGAGTGGAAGGGACACATGCCTCTCACTCGCTCTCATTGTGAGCGCATAACGTGAGCGGAGCGTAACGCAGTTTCTTAAAGTGTCACCCGGCAAACCAATTTATAAGACGTTGTCACGTCAAATCAAAGTCTTATGTACCATGAGGTACACACAAAACGAAAAAATATTGGTACAGGTGAAATTCTATAAATATTATACCCACTTTTTCAGAAACAATACCATTGTACTTTCAGGTGAAAACAAATTAAAATAATAGCTATTTCTATTAAACAATTTAAATATGAAGGTCCAAAAAGAACATAGTAATGTTACCGTACAAGTCTACACTATGACTTTAATAACTACAATAGAAACATAAACAAAGTCGGTCCTACTTATACTGCTACCTAATCAAGAGATTATATTAAACTGTCAAACACCAAGCGGTCACCGGTGACCGCAACCTATTGTTCTTTAATTGTGTCTATAAATACGGTACTTGACGAGTTAACTAATTGATAGCAACTGATAGAGATAATAAAGTCATGATAAGATCTTTGGTGAAAGAGTAAAAATGGTAAAAAAGGCCAGTTCAACAATACTTTGGATAATTTACTAGAACCATAATCCAAAGGTTTGGATAGTGTAACCTTGTATATAATAAAACATGTCATTTATATTAAATGTGTTGGTTCAGCTAATAGAAACTTAACCAGAGTTAGTAAATGGGGGCTTAGGAATATCCAAAAAGTTTGTTTGATGACAATGAAGGAAGTTTTATGGTTTGATTTTGTTTAATTATTAAATTGAAATGTTAATTATTTGGAGTCGTCACTTATTTATAACATTAATACACATTTGGTACATGACTCATACAATCACAAGTGGACTTGCTGCCTTCATTAAATAAGTACTAAGAAAATAGAAAATTCAAAAGTTTCATATATAAATCATATCTACCTATAATATGTGGTAAAATTACTGTCAGTACACAACCACATCCGGGCGTTTCGAAACAATAACAAATTAATCAGAAAGATAAACAGTTCACTACTCACAATGTATCACAAATTCATAACACAATACGGAAGATAAGGTTACGGTGTAATCAGTACCAACTATTGTAGTAAATAGTCATTCGTTGCATAAAATATTTGTACCTAGTAAAGAGTATGAGAATACTCGTATTTTACATGAAAATGAAATCCAAAAGTACAAAATTATGATTAAAGTCAATGACCCATCAGCTGTCAGCTGTCATATTATTTGAAGGCGTGCAATTTGCAATTTGTAATCTGCAATCAAAGTCAAAGCAAAGAGACACAACTGACGGAGTTTCGTCGTTTCTTTTTTTATTTGCTGTCTTACATTTAGTTAATTTTAAGTTGTATGTATTCATAATATTATAATTATTTACAATTTGAATAAATAGCAAAGACTGTAAGAAGAATAATCAAAAATAGAGTCACGCTCATAAGTACTGACTGAAAATAAAATTGTTCGTGATCCTGGCCGTCAAACGATGTGAATGTCGAAATGTCAATCTGCAATCTCAATCTGTCAAACTCAAAATCGACAAACCAGTCGAGTCGATTTCAGTTTAGTTTCGGTCAGGCAGATTTGTTTGCTTAATTTTAACTCATAGGTAAAAGATTCCTATTAGGCAAGAATATCCATTAAAAATAATATTTAGCGTCTCTTATACTTGATATCAAATAAAGATAGTGTTCTTACGAGTCATAGTTTTGATAGAAAGTAACACCTTTAGCTCGTGTACGGTCCGCATTGCTTTGATTAAGGTGAGACTTTTTTGTGTAAATGTAGTACCTATGTTGTTATACTGACTCCATGTCATGTTCTATAAATAAAACGCTACCCTTCTTGTCATAAGTGACTCATCCGTTTTGTCTATAATAATAATACAACTTGAGTTCCCCTATACATTAAACTCTTTGCTTGAAGTGTAAATTCTAAGAATATCTGACGTCTTTCTTTCTTTTGTACCTAGTTCATTTTATTTGTATATTTTATTGATAGCAGATATTTTTTTATTTAATGTATATTTGATGATGTTTGGGCCCTATTTCGCCTGGTGGTACCTAAGCATTAATGTAGCCTACGATGCCTCGGCCCTTGTGTCTATAAGGGCCATACCCAGGTTATACCCTACTGGAAAGACACAATTGTAATGTAGCAATTGGTGTTCCATAGAAGCAGAGTGGCAAAGAAATATTCTTTCTATTACCTAATCAAAGTTTTGTTTAAGGCACACAGCATAATTTAATGTGGCATTAGGTACTAACTACTTTACCATGATGTTTTTATTAGACTTGTCTGTCTTTGAATACTACAAAATGTTCATTTCTTCAACAAAGTTGTTCATTCCATTAAAAATTAATTGTTGTTCCCATTTTTTAGTTTCTCAATGATCCATAGAACAGGATGGCATCGCCACAGAATGTCACAGTGGACCAGGTTAGGTTGATCCTGAGTGAAGTCATCGAGGCCTTGGAGTCCCCTGACTATGCCTCCAAGTTGGATGAAGCTAAAGAAGCGGCTGGCAATGAGATGCTGAAAATGATGCAGATTGTGTTCCCAATGGTTGTTCAGATTGAAATGGAAACTATTAAACGTCATGGCTTTCCCAACTCCCGAGAAGGTGATTATGAAATAAAATATATTGTAAACTAAAAATGCTTCAAATGATTTAAACTATAGATAGATACTATTATGCAAAATACTTTTTTTAAATACTTCCTTAGTTTTTGTAAGTACTTTTAACAGCAAGTTTTCGATGCTAATGTTCAAAAAACAATTTTACCATTTTTCACAATATCTGCAGGTATAGTTCAGTTTACGCAGCTGGTTCGTGAGATGGAGGCTCTGGACAGCGAGGTGTCGCGTCTGCACACTCAGATCAGAAACCACTACCTACCCCCTGTGTCTATCAGCTCTACAGTTGATACTTCTCTGTAAATGGTGAGGATCTATGCAAATATTTCTTCCTTTTCACATTATGCAATGCAAAATGAAGTACAAAGAACACTATTTTGTAGATGTGCAAACATATGTACTTCGCTTGATACATACATACATACATAACTTCACGCCTGTCTCCCATGGGGGTAGGCAGAGACTATGGAACACCAATTATTATTATTCCTACATACCTCTTTTCCTCTTCATCAACAGTCATCAATCTTTTCATGCATGCTCGTCGGTTAAGGGCACTTTTAATTTGGCCCTTCTTTAGTATATATTTTTATTGATGTATATAATATTTTCTTTTTGTTATGGTATGCTTAAACTGTCAAACACCAAGCGGTCACCGGTGACCACAACCTATTGTTCTTTAATTGTGTCTATAATGACGGTACTCAATGAGTTAATGCTTTATATTCTATGTTTTGAAGATGAAGAATGATTGCATAAGATTGGTAAAAATTTAATAAATAGCAGTTTTCTTCTTGTTACAATTAGGTAAATATAACTATTAAAAAGAAAATAAAGTAATTATTATGTTTTAGATGAGTTGATGTCGCCACGCAGCCGTCGCGATGATTCTTGTCAAAAGCACATATGTACAATACAAAGCGACATAGTTATAGTATAGTTACGTATGTTTTAAATTCGGCCAAACCACAAATTGTATTATTAATTATTACACGACTTATGATTAAGTGAGCATTTATATTTTAAATAAATTCCATTAATTTATGGGCTTATTTTATTTTACGCCAAATTTACTCTCTGTGTGTACATAAAAGTATTTGAAAACAGCCTAATGAATAAGGTAATATGTATAAAAAACTAAATAATGCATTGATAATAATATGATGTTACTAACATACTAAATACTGATCGAGAAATTCTACAAGTTTTTTAATTTGAGTATGCTATCAGATACAGAATTGCATAATGAAAAACAAAAATATCTATTACAGTTACAATACTGAAAATGTATCCGATGACAGTTGGGTACTCTGTCTTATGCAAACAACTAACTAGAAATGAAGTTTACTTCTTGTAACAGGACTACAAATCGAAAACCTACATACTTTGTTGATGACTAAAAATCTATTACAAGATGTTTCCAGTAAAGACACTTTTATTAGCGGGCAAAAAGGTTCATTTTTCGTTGCCTTGATCTGCCGTGATTCTGTTATCAATTACGTCTGAGATAATACGAAATAAACCTTTGCTAAACACAGCCCACTCTGATAACATAGTTAATTAACGACACAGTTAATTAAGTTTAGTATGCTTCGTATTTACTTCGTTATATTTCTAGTTGCAGGCACAAAGACGTTGTGTACCTATAATAAAATCTTTAGTTTCAGGTGGCTCCCGACTTGAATCTCAAATAATCTCAATAGATACGGAATCTCTCAACAATGAATCTCAGACAATTATCTAAATATTTGAAAAAGAAAAGGAACTATTTAAAATGTGTAATGTGTGCGATTGTGCTGTGGTGTACGTACGATTATTTTGGAATTGGTGACTATTTACATGCATCAAGCTTCGAAAACGATTTCCACTATCCACTCGATGTGAATATCAAAGACCTAGTGAATGAAGTGTTAAGTAACCAGAAGCTTTCGGTAACTCCTATCAACTACTACCCTTACAGTTTCCTCAGCAACTCCGGGAAATGTACCAATATCGAGAAGATAGACTTAATGATCGTGGTCAAATCGGCGATGGCTCACTTTGGCCACAGAGACACCATCAGAAAAACATACGGCAATGAGGATATACCAGGACGTACTGTGAAGATTCTATTCTTCTTAGGAGTCGACGGAAAGCCCAAGTCCGACGTGCAGCGCCAAATAGACCAGGAGATGGCAGTCTTCCACGACATTATTCAGATGGATTTCATCGACTACTACTACAACAACACCATCAAGACGATGATGTCGTTTCGCTGGGTGTACGAGCACTGCTCGCACGCCGACTACTACCTGTTCACGGACGACGACATGTACATCTCCGTGAACAACTTGCTTGGCTACCTCCACGACCGGCTCGACGCGCCTAGCGAGCTGCAGGGAGACTTGTTGTTCACCGGATACGTGTTCCACTCGGCTCCACAGCGGTTTAGGTTCAGCAAGTGGCGTGTGTCATTGGAGGAGTACCGCTGGGACAGATGGCCGGACTACGTGACAGCAGCCGCTTATGTCTTATCCAATAAGGCTATGCGTGTCATGTACATTGGCAGTTTGTTTGTGAAGCACTTCCGTTTCGACGACATCTACCTGGGAATAGTGGCGAAGAAGGTGGGCATCACGCCAGAGCATTGCCCACACTTCTATTTCCACAAGAAAAAGTTCTCCCTTGACGCCTATGAGGACGTGATAGCGTCGCACGGTTACCACGATCACGATGAACTCATCAGGGTCTGGCACGAGATGAATAGCAAGTGAATAAAAGACTGTACAAGTACTCAAATTACCTACTGCAATCTAGATTGTCATAGGCATTTTTCTATTTTGGATGATATCCTCACAGGTCATAATATGATCTGCTGAAAATTATTTTAATTTATTTTATTCCTATAGCTTTCTATTTGTCATTGTATCCTGAATGCTCAATTGAATTGAAGCAAGACGATGCTGACCGCAATCGTAAATATTTTGTAGGGGGTTGGATCTCAAAGTTAGTTTAAAGATATACAGCCCGAATCTGGATATGACTCAGTACCGACTCTACATAGGCTAGGAAACCGTAACTGTGTAATTGGGAAAAGGTCAGGTTTTTTTTAGACTTTCTCCCAATTACACAGTTATTAGTAGAATCTCAAAATATGTCACAATCAACAACTTTTTTCTATTCTAACTTTAAGTTTATACTTTATACCAATAATACTGGCTTCCACAGACAATACCTAAGTTGGTATGTTGAACTTTAGTAGGAAATATTTCTAGTTGTCTAGTGTTGTAGTCGAGGAGGTACAATATATTTTATACGCTCTTCTTTAACATAATGCTTATGTGATAGTGTGCAATTATCGGTATTTAGGTACTTACTATCCTACACAACCTTCTGGGCAAGAGTTTTTGATGAATTTGATGAACAAGAATGGCGCGGTTCAGCTATTTCATAAAAAGTATCTATATAGGATAGTTAGTAACTAAGTACACAGAAAATGTATAAAAGTACATATTTCACCTCGTAAGATACTGTAAATACGAAGGTGGAAGCGGGTAATGTATACTCCCCTTATATTTTCCAAAAACGATATATTTGTAGAAATAAAAGTCTTTAATTAAAGTGTTACTTATTTTATTTACAATAATGTAGTACCTACCTCCATACTTCTACACATTTTTATAGTTTTTATAGTCATCAATTCGTGAAAAACCTTTGATTTATCTTTGGGTATAAGATGTCGTGGTCGCCCCTTCTCATGAATGAGGGTGCCGGTTCGAAACCTACCAACGGCAAGTACCAATGTGACTTTTTCCGAGTTATATGTATGTACTTTCTAAGATTATTTAGACACCACTGACAAACGGTGAAGGAAAACATCGTAAGGAAACCTGGACTTATAATTTCTGATTATAAGTTTGAAATCGCCAACCCGCATTGAGCAAGCGTGGTGAACAAAGACTATAGTGAATGCGTTCAGATGGTATTTAATTTAGTACGGAATTTCAAGCAACCATAACTAATACCTATGTTCGTAATTCACAAGTTGTTAATCCCCATCTTAGCAACTTTATTAGGAATTAGTCGATTTACTTGAAGCCAAGCATTCCACATCCACAGAAGAGTACATTTTTAGTATATACTTGATTTTTCACACCAATATTTAAATGAAATGTTTTGAGACAACTTAATATATGGTTTGAACCTTTTATCGCTATCAGTAAGACCGCAAAAGATAATATCGGGACCCCTCAATGTCAAATCTGAGCGAGAGTAATGCAACTCGACCAGGGAAGACAGAAGCCAGTCTGTTCGAGATACGGAAATGTCTAAACTTTGTCAACTGATAATGACTGATTGTTATAATGAAAAATAATAAAATAAAAACTGCGTTTAAAAAACCGACTTCAAAAAACCAAAATCCAAAAACTAATAACAAACAAAAAGTCAAATCTAAAAAGCAAAAAATAACTATTATTAGTACTGATAGGTTACCCCCCCACTGATAGGTAAGAAGTCGGTGCCATAAGTTCAATACAAAATTATTCATTAAAACCTTAATAGGTACCTTATTCACAATTTTGTGGAAATTAAGTTATATCATTATGATATGAGCTCATGGCACCGACTTCTAACCTATCAGTGGGGGGGTAACCTATCAGTACTAATAATAGTTATTTTTTGCTTTTTAGATTTGACTTTTTGTTTGTTATTAGTTTTTGGATTTTGGTTTTTTGAAGTCGGTTTTTTAAACGCAGTTTTTATTTTATTATTTTATCATTTTCAGTGTAAAGCTACATATACCCGTTTTGTTACTTATAATATATATAGGTGCAAAGTTCTTATCAATACAAATTTACAAGCCCAAAACAAGGTAGTTACAGTATACCGTTGAGGAGTTCCCTTAACAATTACACTTCTTCATCATCAGACCCTTAATGACAGCCCCACTTTATTTAGGTGTAAAGTCCTCATCAATACAAATTAATCAAGCCCAAACACAAGGTAGTTACTGTATACCGTTGAGGAGTTCCCTTACCAATTACACTTCTTCATCATCAGACCCTTAATGACAGCCCCACTGTATCTAGGTGTAAAGTCCTCATCAATACAAATTAATCAAGCCCAAACACAAGGTAGTTAATATAAAACGCTGAGGAGTTCCCTCGACTGTCTGTCGACTCCATCATCAGGTCGATTCCAAACCCATATGAAATTGTAGTGTTTAAAAATGCTAATTGAAAAACATAATAGACGCATTACTCCTCCATACAATTTTCGAAAGTTCCCCTCGGTTTCCCTAGGATCTCATCATCAGATCCTGACTTCATGGAAATGGGACCATCTCGGGAGTATACCCTTTCAAACAAAACAAAAATTTTCGAAATCCAAATCGGCGGAGTACTGCGCGAACAAACAAAAAAAAAAAAAACAATCAGCCGAACATAGTACCTCCTCCTTTTTTTGAAGTCGGTAAAAATTCAAGCTACACTGACTGACTTATAATTTGTATTCCTATGATCATTTATTGGGGTTATAGAACATTTCGTTTCACACAGACAGCGCGAACGCAACTGCTTTGATTGTATAGCCTTCAAACCTATTAACAGAAATATACCAAAAATGTAAAAAATATTGTTACAACACTTTTTTAGGGCACTAGTCTTTTTTATCCTTGCTGACTTGGCTATAGAAAGATTATACCTATCAGCAGTTGATAATCTTTATCAGTTATTCATAAAAATACATATTTCGTCTAAACACGCGGCGTAGGAACGTTGTCGACTAACATTTTTTTATGGAAATGCGAAACAATAAATCATCGTTACAGAATTTGAAAGTGTCTAAGAAAGTGAAAATGAAAAGAAAGTATTTAAAATATATGGTGTGTGTGTTTGTGGTGTGGTATTTGTATAATTATTTAGGAATAGGCGACTATTTATATGCATCAAGCTTTGAAAACGATTTCCACTATCCACTCGATGTGAATATCAGAGACCTAGTGGACGACGTGTTAAGAGATCAAAATTTCACAGTGCGCCCTATCAATTATTACCCTTACAATTTCCTCAGCAACTCTGGGAAATGTACCAATATCGAGAAGATAGACTTAATGATCGTGGTCAAATCGGCGATGGCTCACTTCGACCACAGAGACACCATCAGAAAAACATACGGCAATGAGGATATACCAGGACGTACTGTGAAGATCCTATTCTTCTTAGGAGTCGACGGAAAGCCCAAGTCCGACGTGCAGCGCCAAATAGACCAAGAGATGGCAGACTTTCACGACATCATTCAGATGGATTTCATCGACTACTACTACAACAACACCATCAAGACGATGATGTCGTTCCGCTGGGTGTACGAGCACTGCTCGCACGCTGACTACTACCTGTTCACGGACGACGACATGTACATCTCCGTGAACAAACTGCTGGACCACCTCCCCGATCGGCCCGAGGCGTCTAGTAAGCTGCAGGAAGATTTGTTGTTCACTGGATACGTGTTCCACTCGGCTCCACAGCGGTTTAGGTTCAGCAAGTGGCGTGTGTCATTGGAAGAATACCGCTGGGACAGATGGCCGGACTATGTGACGGCTGGAGCCTACGTCCTATCCAACAAAGCTTTGCGGGTCATGTACATTGGCAGTTTGTTTGTGAAACACTTCCGTTTCGACGACATCTACCTGGGCATAGTGGCAAAGAAGGTGGGCATCACACCAGAGCATTGCCCACACTTCTATTTCTACAAGAAAGATTTCTCCCCCGACGCCTACGAGGACGTGATTGCGTCGCACGGCTACCACGATCACGATGAGCTAATCAGGGTTTGGCACGAGATGAATAGCAAATATTTTATGAGATGAATCCATTATTTGGACCCCACGACACTGAACAAATAATTACATACAGCATGGAAACAGCAATAAGAGCTGTAGTAGTACCTACCCGAGTAAAACTGATGGGTTTTTTTAAAGGGGGGAAAATCATCGAATGACTGCTCCCGCCTGGGTGAGGCGGGAGTGAGTGTCAGACTCTTACTGACTAAAAACCACCCCGTTCCTTCTCCTGCACGTCGAGTCGGAGCCCCGGTAACCCGTTAATTTCTCCGCGACAAAACTGATGGGTAGACAGCCTATAGGTAGTATAGATACCTACTTATCTAAATAGTTCTAATGTCACTCCTACCGTCTATCTCTTGCAATGTTATTGGGGTAGGTCCTTTCTCGATGTTAGAATTTTCAATAAGTGAGTGTAATGTAAATAGTTCTTAACGTTAATTTCCCCACTTCAACGAGGCGTCAGACCATCACAGACGGGCCCCACTAGGGCCGATGCCCGATTGGGGTTGTTGTGGGTACTGCACAGTAAGTTACCAGGCTCGGCTCGGGACGGGAGTTGGGACAGGATAGTTTTAGTCAGCGTGTCTGACACTCATGCCCGTTAACGCTATTAAGTTCAATATTGAATGTTGAATATGTTTTAATCCAAAGACAATAAATTAGTTTTGACGTCAGAATCTCGTATCCTAGGAATAGACAACGATTATTCGACTGATTACCACTGTTGTAAATAAAACTCTGTACTTAAGGAAATAAAAACTGTATTTTTATTTAAGTCATCATGTCAAAGGTAACAATCAATTATAATTTCAATAACAATGGTATATAGCATACACCATAATAGTTACAGTTTGAAGCAAGAAACTTAATATAGGTAGGTACTCAGTAACATGGTGTAAATATAATCCAACCAACTTAGAGTGAGTGGAGTATAGTTTAACACATTTTACCAAATGGTGCACGTCGGACTATTAAACGTTTGACAGTTGTTTGTTAAACAAAAAAAAATAATCTTTATTGATTCGCAATAAGGTTTTTTAATCGTATTTGTATACATATATCCATACTACTGATGAAAATATTAAGAAAACAAGGTAGGTAGGTAGTACCATTCATAGTCATCAGTTAAATGAAGTTTTATATAGCATCAGAGGCGCTCATATTGGTGTTGTATAACAGCAACCTCAAAATAGCTATTTACTTATGAATGGACTAACAGGACACTTAACATCGCTAGCGCCATCTACCAAGCGCAAGAAATCTTTGAAACTGCTGTTCGCCTAACGTCTCACGTGATTAGCTACCGTTCCTAAGCTGTTGCATCTAACTCCTTTAACACGTATGTGATCTTCATGATGGCCAGCCAGAGAGCTTCGTCGGTGATCTCCCGGTGTATGGTGAACCTCATCGTCTTACTGTCGAAGTATGTTGCTTTCACAATTACACCCTCGTCGTTTGGTGTTTTACAGTCACCCTGTAAAATTATAACAAGTCTTTTTATTTTGGAGAAAACGTGCATCTATGAAACATTCTGTAAAATAAACGGTACATACAAAGATGAGTTTTTTATACAAAGCAATATTCCTAAACATTTGAGAACAAATTTACCTAATTAATCCCACTACATGTGGTCCATATTATGTTCTCACATACCTGTGTCTCCGCGAGGCAGACCTGTGCAAGCCTCGCCACGACCTTCTGTGTAGTTAGAGAGCTGGTCTCCGGGATCCTCACGAGGATTATATTGCTGTGCTGGTCCTCCACGATGAAAGACTTCGGACACAAACCCTCAATAACTAGAATATTAAAATGATATTTTAACTAGAGATTCAAACTGAACTCTTCCAGCTGCTTTGATGGTGATTCATATTAGAAAAAAATACACATAGAACAGGTATTCTGTTCTCCGATCCGAAGCCAATCAGTACGTTACTAAAATTAGTTTAGGACCAATTAAGGACTTCAACAAGCTTCAACTCACCTAGCATGATGACATCCTTTAAGGAAAATCTACTGCAACTACTGTGGAAATAAAACTACACAGAGCCTATGAAATCAGTGTGTGCAGGAGTATAATTATCTATTACTTATAATATGTGTATGACTGGGTGTTCAGATATGGAGGCAGCAAAATAAGGCATGTAGGTAAGGACTGAGGGCTTGTACACAAAACTGCGATGCGATACGATACGAATTGCTGCGATGCGATTTCGTGCGACAAGGCGTCTTCCAGGGTGACCATTTCTTCGACGACCGTCAACCGTACTAAACATGTTTTAAACTGTCAAACACCGCGAGGACACCGGTGACCGCAACCTATTGTTCTTTAATTATGTCTATAATGAGTTAAATTGAAAACTAGGTCGTGAAATGGATCGTTAAAAGATGTGTGCACTTCTGTTATTGCTTAGGAGATACAGGAAAAAGAAACAAAGAAGATTTTGGGAAAGCGATGCGTAGAGGGAGCTCGCACATTTTTGCGTTGCGACGTCGCATCGCAGTTTTGTATACGAGCCCTAATACCTGATGTACCTTTCTGAAGCCTTCCACCGCCACATAATTTCAATTCTTATAAAATAATTTATGTATGTAATGAAGTATTAATAAGTAACCTTTTGCCATGATATTCGCCCGCTTATGGTCGAGCTTGAGCTGCGGCATGACCTCGTCCAAAGCTACAATGGCGGCGGCAGCCAGAACGCCAGCCTGGCTCATCCCACCGCCAAGCATCTTACGCATGCGACGCGCTCTGAGGACGATATTTTATACATCAATCAAAGAGCATTATAATTATAATTATTTTATAGACCACGTTTAGTCGGTTAATTAATAAAACCTTCTCTTAATTGTAACAAACACTTTTCTAAAAACAGAATCAAAATCGGTTCACCCAATCGTGAAATAATGGTGCACAAACATGCATATATAGGAGGTTAAAAAGATAGAAGAAGAAGCATTTAATCAGCAGTGATGATGATGGTAATTTCTGACACTTCGTAAACATAGATCGATATACCTACCTATATAGACACATGGTGAATAAATTAGTAGAGGCAAGATAATGTGTAGGCATTACCAACTATAACTTTTCTTTAGATTTGTCAATCATTTTTGGAAAAGCAATCATAACGCAGCCTATCAAACGATTGTTAAAGTGTTTGCGATTTGCATATGAATTATAATTGTAACATAGGTGACATCGCAACTTAGGTACTTTATGCCGAAAACTGCATGATTCAGCCGTTTGAAAAAAATGTAATCAGTATTATTATCACACTTAGGTACCTAGGTGTCTACTTTTCTTTCTGTAGGTAGGTAGGTACTATTCTTGTTTCCCTGTTGGTGCTTACGCAATATTCATTTTTTATAAGCGTGATTAACAGCAAAACCTGAAAAAAAATGTGTAAACTTACTGTTCAATAAAATGATAAGAGCCAACGAGTCCGGAGCCGACAGGGGCTGACAGACCCTTGTTGAAGCAGACGGATGCACTGTCACAATCCCTTACGACTCTGCTGAGGTCCTCCTTAAGGTATTCGCAGGCATTGAACAGCCGAGCGCCATCCATGTACAGCGGGATATTGTGACGCTTGCAGATAGCGGACAGGTTGTCAAGAAACTTCAGTGGTAACGCCTGGAACGAAATAATGGTTACTTGGTACAAGGTAGTTACTATAAACCGTTGAAGAGTTACTTTAACAATTACACTTCTTCATCATCCGACTCTTAATGGCAGTTCCACTCCATCTAGGTGTAAAGTTCTTATCAATAGGTACACATTTATCAAATCCAAACACAGGGTAGTTATTATAAACCATTTCCTCCACTGTCTGTCGGCTCCATCATCCGGTAGACTCCAGACCCTTTTAAAAATGTAGTGCTTAAAAATCCTTATTGAAAAAATAATAGACGCATTACTCGCCCTTACAATTTTCGAAACCTCGTTTAATTTTTCGTTATCCACAGTTTCTCTAGGACCCTCTCGAGAGCATAACCTTTCAAACATAACAAGAATTTTAGAAATAGGTTTACAAATGGCGGAGTAATTTGCGAACAAACAAAAAATAAACATTCAGCCGAATACAGTAAGTACCTCCTCCTTTTTTGAATTCGGTAAAGACTGGTAACAAATTACGTGGGGTAAGCACTTTTTAAGGGACGAATGGTGTAAAGTTATTTTAGAATGACTTGTGAATAAAAAAACAAATGACGTCACCTTTTTTGAGGGGGCAAAATTATCGAATTACTTCTCCCGCCCGGATGAGGCGAGAGGGAGTGTCATGTGTAGGTATCTTACAGATAAAGCTTCATAAGTGGTATGCTAATAATAACAAAAGATAAGTAATAAGTTATTGCCTACATCTCGATATTTGGTACAAAATATACGGTCTAATCACTACATAGTATAAAACAAAGTCGCTATCCGCCGTCTGTCTGTCCCTATGTATGCTTAGATCTTTGAAACTACGCAACGGATTTTGATGCCTTTTTTTTATAGATAGAGTGATTCTTAAGGAATGTCTATATGTATTACTAGCTGTTGCCCGCGACTTCGTCCGCGTAGATTAATGACTTCTGACAGAATTAACCAGAATCAATTCAGTGCCCAAGTAAGATTTACCTATTTTGAAATGATTTATCGTAGTTTCAATAAATAAATAATCCCGCAGGGATCTTACCAGTACAGTGCCCGATAACGTAAGGTTTGAGTAATAAAAACTATTCTATCGACTATTGTTGTACCGAATCTCTCTAGAATAAGTTCAGTGGTTAAGAGTTAGAGAGTCCTGGGGCATTGACGCATAGTTCCCGTTCTCGTGAGACATCTGTGATAACAACTATCAAACGTTACCCAGGTCCCAAATCATCGTTTTACCGAATGTAATTCAAAAAGATTCAATGATTCTAAATTCAACGGCTAAGAAGATTTATACAAACTCTCATTCCCTATTTTATCCCCTTAGGGGTGGAATTTATCAAAATCCTTTCTAAAGAAATACCTATGTCATAGTAATTTTATGCATGCAAAGTCTCAGCCCGATCAATTTAAAACTGGCAAAGTATCATACCTTGGGGTGAGAATGTTCAAAAACCTTTCTAAAGGGACGTTTACGTCATAATATCCATCTGCACGCCGAATTTCAACCCGATCGGTGTAAAACTGACAAAGCCTCACACAAACGTTCATCCCCTATTTTACCCCCTTAGGGGTGGAAATTATCAAAATCCTTTCTTAGCGGATGCCTATGTGATAACATCTATCTGTATGTCAAATTTCAATCCGATCGATTTAAAACTGACAGTCTCATACAAACTTTCATCCCCTATTTTACTCCCTTGGGGGTGGAAATTATCAAAATCCTTTCAAAGCGGATGCTTACGTCATAACATCTATCTGCATGCCAAATTTCAACCTGATCGGTTTAACTCGTCGAGTACCGGTTTTATAGACACAATTAAAGAACAATAAGGTCGCGGTCACCGGTGACCGCTTGGTGTTTGACAGTTTAAAACTGACAAAGGCTCATATAAACTTTCATCCCCTATTTTACCCACTTGGGGGTGGAAATTATCAAAATCCTTTCACAGCGGATGCCTACGTCGTAACATCTATCTGCATGCCAAATTACAACCCGATCGGTTTATAACTGACAAAGTCTCATACAAACTTTCATCCCCTATTTTACCCCCATTGGGGTTGGAAATTATCAAAATCCTTTCATATCGGATGCTTACGTCATAACATCTATCTGCATGCCAAATTACAACCCGATCAGTTTAAAACTGACAAAGTCTCATACAAACTTTCATCCCCTTTTTTACCCCCTTGGGGGTGGAAATTATCAAAATCCTTTCACAGCGGATGCTTACGTCATAACATCTATCTGCACGCCAAATTTCAACCCGATCAGTTAAAAACTGATAAAGTTTCATACAAACTTTCATCCCCTTTTTTACCCCCTTGGGGGTGGAAATTATCAAAATCCTTTCTTAGCAGATGCCTACGTCATAACATCTTTCTGTATGCCAAATTTTAGCCCAATCTGTTCAGCGGTTTGGGCTGTGCGTTGATAGATCACTATGTCAGTCAGTCAATCACCTTTGAATTTTATATATATAGATAATACATACATATTGCACCCGTGAGAAGCCGGGGTGGGTTGCTAGTAAGAGATAATAGACTGTTATCAGCACTCGACTTTGGCCCTCTTAGTAAGGCCTCCCTGCCACTAACTACCTCGGTACTCAATAAGTTCTAATGTAATACCTACCTAGGTAGATGGCTTAATTTACAGACTGCTTAACATAAGTGCTGTCTTGATTATGTTCGTTATGGTAATTTTATTTTAAGCTTATCTTAGTTTAACTATCAGATAACATAGTCAGTTCTGAAAAGCAATATTTATTGTAACTTTTGCTATTTTGTAACGAATAATATGCACTAGAATCGGAACATTTGTTGTATTGTGCAGTCGGCTCCGTTAACCATAGTATCCAATATCCAAAAGTGAGTATTAAACATGGAGGCACTCGACTATGATCAAAAAAATGTTGCTACTAAAGTTGCTACAAAAAATGTTGTTGTAACTAGTTACTGACCTTACCACCGCAACAATTGTGGGTGTTCTCAACAGCTACCAGCGAGGTGATGGGCTCGTGTACGTCGGTGCCTTGGATCCGACTCTCCAGTTCCTGCAGGTCGAAGGTGCCATCAGGTTTGTTGGTTAAAGTCGACAGGTGAACGCCTGCTGCGTGAGCTGCACCACCTGGATCATCATAATGTCTTATTAGCAAGTGATATTTGATGGCATGGCAGGGTAGATGGGCATCTTCTATTAAGGGCCGCCACCTATATCAGTTCTTCCCATCCGTGCATGAGCGGCTGGAGAGGACATGGTTGGAGGTGGATCACTGTGTTGCCCAATTTCTTACTGGCCACGGCAACTTTAAAAGCAAATTGTTCTCATTTAAACTTATTGATTCACCATGGTGCCAATGTTCGACAGTGGATTTGCAATACGAGCAGTCGGCCCATCACATACTCTGGGAGTGTGATCTCTGGCAATATGAACGTAACACTATGTTGAATAATTTAATTGTTTCGTCAGGTGTAGCTTATTATACGGACCTTGTGGAATCTAGAACAAATTTCCGTGCGTTTAGGCGTTTTTGCCATACCTATTATTGGAAGCAAGTATAACAGCTCACACATAGGACCCACTTAGTTTTTTTAGTCAAATTTCCGTGGTGCTTGGCGACTGGGCCTCACCCAGTAGTACAGTCTCTTCTTTGTGCCTTTAGGCTTAATTCATTCTGTCTCCTGCAGAAATTCACCGAGGGAAGTGGAAACTATAGTTTTTTCTTCTCCTCTTATAATATCTTCTGATTCATTTCGTTGCGGGAACCAAGACAGTTACTCATGTCCCTGGGACGCGCCGGACTTCAGTGTTCCGGTGTTTTCATGGTTGTATCTACTGTAGATCCTGGCTTACAGGAGTTGCAGCGGTTTTGGGAGGTTGTGGCGGGCTTGTCCCATTCAAAAAAGTGATATTTGATGATCACAAACTCTGGAGTGATGAAATGTTGGTAACTTTTTTTTAATGTCCTAAGTTTCGTCAACTCTTTTTTAATTTTCCTGTTCGTTACACATATTATTATTATTATTATTATGTATGTCTTTACCATTCACGGGACCACAGGGTCCCGGTCATTTGGGAGGCGTACGAGGGGCCGAAGCCAACTGCGCAGAGGCCCTTTATTATTATTATTATTATCTTAGAAATAAAAATGCTGTTTGTTGCGAATGCGACTGTCTGATAAGATTTCAGTTACGTTATGTTCCTTATGTTCTATCTTTTAGTTAAAATCTCGTGTCTTTCTGAAGGTTCTAACAAAATATTTAAACTGATGTGTACCTTGTTCATACTTGAAGATATGCGACTGGTTTCCGACGAATGCCTCTGATCCTCGCTTGTTGCAGTGCACCATTACTGGAAACAAATTGATATTAACGGTAACCATATTTATAGAAGTTTATTATTTTGTCTAGACAGTTTTATTATGCTCAGTAATAGCATCAGTAGCATGAAGTTTGAAATGGACCTTAAATTGCCAAACCAAAGAAGCACCACAGAATACTACCCTAACTCCTTTTCATTGTTTTCAAAAAATATTTTTTAGTTAATCCAAATATTATTCAAGTAGGTATGCAGCAGTCATGTAACATGCAGCAATCATTGTTTCTGTAACGGCTTCGGCGCTGCAGGGCTTGGGCGGCCCCACGCGAGCTTATCGTCGCAGATGGTTCTATGTGATTCTAACGCTCACCACCGCAACATCGGCTTGCTGGCCGGCTCCACGCCTCCGCGAAATTAAATTACACACTAGGGATGGGGCAGAAAAGAGACCACGGAAAAGCGGTTTTGCAGCGGTTAGTTTCAGCCACTAACAAATCATTTCACCAAACGTGTACTGTCTGAAAATTGTTTGCTGTAATAATTCATTTGAGACCAAATACCATAATGATATTAAGTTTGCTAAAGCTTGTTTGGGAAATGAAATTTTATCGAAATAATTCGGCAAACTGGCAGGCTAGACATATTATGATTTAGGAATAATCAGATATGAATAGTTGTCATTAAAAAATAATTGTCGAAGTATCTCTCTCTGTTACGAAAGCCCTGAGAGAACCCGAAGGAGGGAAATAACACAGAGATGAAATGTCAGCAATGAAAGCCTTTCAGGGGCACGACCTTCAGAAATTAAGCAAGCGATCGATCGAGAAGAGTCGAAGTAATAGTTTGCTCATTACTAGTTATCGTGTCTTGACGTTCGTGGCGTCAGGAAAAACACTTTTTTATGGGTTACAATTAGCAATTTTTGATGATTCTTCTTTCTAGTGAAATGTAAATAATGAATATATCGCTGTGTCATTTTACAATCGGTGTCTGTGGCGGTCAAAAGGTTAAGGTATCTTGTACCATTATCATTTCTAAGCATCCGAGTGTTTTAGCATAGTAGGTATTAATACAAGATGGCTCCGTCAGTCTATGAAACATCTAAACTTGGAAACTTATTATCTAAATGCTATACGTCCACGCGTTATTTTGATTGTCATTTCACATGATGTAATATGAGCTGTCATTGAGTTCAATTTGGATGTTGCTACAACTACCTATACGTATTAGAGATGTGGACTATACAGTATGTCCATCTATCAAATTCTAAAAAGAGAATTATAGTGGGTTCTGAAAATAGTCATGTAGAATTTGGAACAGGTACTAGGAGTAGGAAACATCTGTAAACTCCCTTAGCTAGGTAAAGTAAGAGCCAAGTAAAGAACTACATATTGCCAGAGGCCAAACAGAAGTGATCACTGATAAACCTGAACCTTTAGAACCCGCCTGCCATGCTCAGTCATCAGTCAGTTGGTAGGTTGTACCTGGAATATTTTCCGAGAGTTTTGAAAATTGGCTATTTTGTAGATCTTGATCTGCCCTCTCCGATTTCCATCTTTCATCCTAGTACGGGTGCCGCTCGCGCCGCCATCTTGGAAAAATGGCGGCCAAAAACAGTTTTCTTTTCCGATTCCCGGGTCGGGCAAAGTATTACTGGGTTTTAAAAAAACTTAGCCTTAGTAGCACGGTGTTTGGAATTGTGCCCGGCATATGGCAATAGGTTCACCCCCTATTACATGGGACTCAAAGTGGGTGTTACATTATACAAGTGGCATTAAGTAACGTAACGTGCACCTTTGCCTACCCCTTCGGGGATAAAAAGGCGTGATGTTATGTATGTTTTGTTATGCTTTAGGAAGATTATAATTAAGAATTTCAGATCGTCGCTACCGTTAGGCGACACAAGCGACTGTTTACGTAGCACCATAGGTCGTCGTCTCATTTCTCTAAATTCCAGTACATAGACATAGATTCTTGAGTGTATTGCTCCAAAAAGTTTAAAGGTCATGACTGATTAGATCGCGAGTTATTGGTCTCACAAAATGTCTAAATAAGGCAACAAAACAAATTTAGGAATAAAATCGCTTTATAACCGACTTCCCAAAAAGGAGGAGGTTATCGATTCGGCTGTATGTATTTTTTTTTGTGTGTATGTTACCCTACTATTTGTGGACGGATTTTGATGATTCTTTTTGTTTTGGAAAGGCCATACTCTCGGGGTTCCATTTCCACCAGATCAGGACGAACTTTTGTAAATTGTATGAGCGGCGAGAGCGTTTGTTAATTTTTTGATCTAGTATTTAAAACTACTACAATTTGATAAAGGTGTGGAGTTGATCTGATGATGGAGTCAAGAGACAACCGAGGGAACTCCTCGAGGATTTGTAGCATTGACCCCGTGTTTGGGCTTAAATTATTTGTATTGAGTCACCTTCTTTTTACATATCAGTGGATGGGTAACCTATAAAGTACGTATGACTAATAATAGTTATTTTATGCTTTTTTGTTTTTACCTTTTGCTTGTTTTAGTTTTTGGTTTTTGAAGTCGGTTTTTTTATTGTGTTTTGTTTGATTTTGTTCATTGATGAATGGATGAATGTAATAGACACATTTTTTGCTAATGAAGAAAAACTTTTGTCGAAGGGGTTTTAAGATTTTTCGTAGAGATTTTAAGGTAGACTTGGGCACCTACTTATAGAAAGAAAGAAAAATTATTTTTCAGCACCAGGCACGATGCAGCATAAATAAAATATAAAAAAGACAATAAAGGTGTGACAGTGGAAGTAATAAAAACATTGAGTTGAATAATAAAACAGAAGAATTAGAAGAGTGACGCTGACGACATGCTTTATATGCTTATTGCTTATCTTTGAACACCTTTTTTATCACGACGGAAATCATTTAAAAGCTTTGTGGGGAGAAAAGCTGTAGAGTAAAACTGACTAACTGACTCCTCTGGTGTTGTGGGTGTCCATGGGCAGCGCTGATCGCTTACCATCAGGTGATCCGTCTGCTCGTTTGCCTCCTATTCCATAAAAAGAGTGTAGGGTTTTTACTTTACTAAAACGACCCTAGTGACTACCACCCGGGTCCTCTCAATAGACCAACCTCGGAGTACCCCAATTTAATGGTAATAGGTACCCATTGGGCAACGCCACATATGACAGATCTCTACTCAACTAGGAAGACCATACACAGGTCTTGACCGTTCCTGTGACCACTGGGTCATGGGAGTGGAAGAAAATTACGACACCGAATTAAAATGACTGGTAGAACATTGGCGAACGTTGAGATTGATGACTATTGTTACCTATTGATAATTTTCTGCGTCTCGAGAATTAAACCTGCTGCCCAGTGCCCTTGCTAACGTACGTTATGGCGTTTCAATTGAGTCGCGTTCAAATGACCAACGAAGTCTTTCTAAATTCAAAAATAATGGATCACATAAGTGACCTATGTTTTAAAAATCATAATAGTGATGTAACCACTAGGTGTATAGGTATTAATTATGTGAAATTATTACTTATTTCTATTTATTAAACCTAAATAATGTATAAACAGTTGTAGTTAAAAATACCTAATATATTGTGAGAAAACCAATTACTTAAAAGTATAAGAAGACAATTTCATTTTCTTATTAAGAAAAACTGAAAAGTTCAATGGGTCGCTAAAATATGATTAACTGTTGCGTGAGTCGAGACTTGACTGAAATAACTTTGGACCACAGAAGATCTATGTCTGTGCTTTGGACAGAATACGCCGCGTATATATAATTACCAAATTGTTGTCTATTTGACTTTCAGAGTAAGTAATAAGCTAATAAAGTGACAAACAGCCAGTATGAAGGCCAAATAAATACATAATGTTATATATGAAAAACTAAGTAAACAAGTAGGTACTCACTTGCTATTAGATTGGCCATCGTGCCAGAAAGTACGAACAAGGCTGCCTGCTTCCCCAGCATAGCTGCTAACTTGCTTTCCAAGGCATTTACCGTAGGATCTTCGCCGTAAACGTCATCGCCTAATGCTGAATTAACCATGGCATGCTTCATAGCCTCAGTTGGGTTTGTCACCGAATCAGATCGCAAGTCTACGATGTATGCCATGGTAAATAATATTTCGTATAAATCAAATACTTTATAAAAAGTAACCTGACCACCAGTCTAACTGGAAGCCGGCAGGCAAGAGTCTAATAACAACTGTGAACGTCGCTACATAAGCAACATTTAGGTAAGATAAAAATCGAGTGGTTATTGTTCTTTTATCATAATCATAAATATCAATATTTTCTCCTTGAACTACGGAGTTAGAATACAAAATAAATACATGGGCGTAGCCAGCCAGGGGTCAGGGTGGGCCAAGTTTAAAAAATATGTACCTAACCGACAAACTATACTCGCGCGGTTTTCTCTGGTCATTTATTTTATACAAAGCAAGCACTGTGCAAGTACACGGCAAAACGTCATCATCATCATAACATCACGCCGTTTATCCCTGAAAGAATAGGCGGAGGTGCACAATACGGCACTTACCTAATGTCGCCGTGCAACGTGTCGCGGGTTCGATTCCCGCACGGAACAACACTTTGTGTGATCCACAAATTGTTGTTTCGGGTCTGGGTGTCATTGTGTATGTGAACTTGTATGTTTGTAAACGCACCTACGACACAGGAGATAATCCTAGTGTGGGGCAACGTTTTTTAATAAAAGATAATAAAAGAAAAAAGACTGTACAATGTAACACCCACTTTTCACGATTTATGTTATGAGTCCCACATAATAGGGGGTAAGCCTATTGTCATATACCGGGGACAATTCCAGATTCCGTGCAACTACTGAGAATTTTTAAAACCCAGTAGTATTTTGCCTGACCCGGGAATCGAACCCGAGACCCCTTGCCCAGCAGTCGCACTTTCGACCACTCGCCCTGTGAGGCAATCAAAACGGCAAAACGCAAACACAGTTAAGTCTATCTACAATATCTACATGAATACGATCAAAAAATTCGTGGACGACATAAATAATAGCTTCGTAGAAGCTGTCCAAACAGTCGGATCGAAGTTTTGGCATCAACATTAGTAGTAGGTATATGATTGGGCATCCTGGACCACTGTTTGCTCGGCGAATCAAGTTTGCCATCGCGGTGATCCAGATTGCCCAATCGTCAACGGACAACTTGGTCAATGCTAGTAATGCAAAATGCATAGTGGTTTATAAATATTAATGTAAAAAAACAAAAACTACGTTTAAAAAAACCGACTTCTAAAACCAAAACCTAAAAACAAGTGAAAGGTAATAACTAAAAAGCAAAAAATAAATTATTATTATAATATGTATAGTTATACGTACTTATAGGTTACCCACCCACTGTTAGGTAAGAAGTCCATTAAAATCTTAATAATAGATAACTCAAATTATTAAACTGTTTACAATTTTATTATGGATTATACCAGTTACCATGACCTAAGTTATATTTTGTTATAGGTTTGTGGCACCGACTTCTAACTTATCAATGGGTGTGTAAGCTGTAAGTAGGTACGTATGACTTATAATAGTTATTTTTTAGTTTGTACTTTTTGTTTGCTTTTAGTTTTTGAAGTCGGTTTTTTTTAAAGGAGTTTTTTTATTTAATACTTTTTAGTTTAGTACTAAAATATATTATATTATGTACATCACACATGGGTGCAACACCAGGTAGCTTCTGAGGGCCAAGCACGAATAACCATCGCATTCGTATCGTAACAGTATCGAGCGAGTTAGCGTTCTGATTGGTTGGTTCACTTGAGCCGGCCAATCAGAGCGCCGAACGCGCTCAATACTGTTACGTTACGAATGCGATAGTTGTTCGTGCTTGGCACTCTGTTAACATTATACTACTTCATCAATGGATCATTGGACCTTTAATGACCATAACCCTCCCCCCCCCCTCGTCGCGGAGAACCTAACGGATTACCGGGGCTCCGGCTCGACGTGCAGGAGAAGGAACCGGGTGGTTTTTAGTCAGTAAGAGTCTGACCAAATGACAATACCCCTTTCAAATAATTTTTTTTTTCTGAAATCGGTCCAGGCGTCTTCGAGTAATCGAGTAACAAACATAAAAAAAAACAGTCGAATTGAGAACCTCCTCCTTTTTTTGGAGTCGGTTGAAAATATACAATTATTCGACTGATAACCACTGTTGTAAATAAAACGCTGTACTTAAGTATAAATAAAACTGTAATTATATTAAACTCATTATGTCAAAGGTAACAATCATTTATTTATAATATTATAATAACAATGGTAAATAGTATACATGATACAACATAGTTATAGTTTGAAGCAAGAAACTTATTATAGGTACTCTCATAGTACTCAGTGTCTCAATAACATGGTATTCCAATCCAACCAACCTAGAGTGAGTGGAGTATAGTGAATAAATACTCCTTGAGTCACTTCTAACACTTCCAGAATACCCTAAACATTCCAGCAGATGTAGCCAAATGCCATTTAGCGCTTGTCTACATGTAGAATAGAAAGCCAAATTATATGGAATTGACGTAAATTTTTACACTTGTCAGTGTCATCCCCATACATTTTCTACTCTCTCTGTAGACAAGCGCTAAAGTGGCGTTTGGCTAAAGGCACAGTCTAGATTTTTTGTGGTCTAATGAATAGTCTGTTTTCCATCTCTAGCATTGCATTCCTCTAGTAAGTGGTTGAATTGGTGGCCGAACGTCTTATATAAATATTTGAAATGAAAAAATAAAACAATACACTATCAGTTTAAACACAAACAACTTTAAAGTAAGTATGTAATATAATAATAATAATAGAAACGTTAATAACAGAAATATTACGTTTTTAACAAAATAGAAACCTAATACAGGCCATCCCTGTAAATATTAACTAGTCTACAATTACGTCTTGGGTTTGTTCAAGGTAGAACGGTAAAATGGATTCATAATTAATTAGTCTATGATTTACGATTGAGCCTTTCATTAAAACAGGCAAACTTCCATTATAGAATGTATAATATATGCTTATCTTTCTAGGTAGATATAAAACATCTTGCCAGTATAAATATTATCCTCTTTTCATCTAGATACAGTCTAGGGCTCACGGTGCGATCTCCTTTCGCGCCCGCCGCGGTGGCGGAATGAGGCGGAATTTACAAAACTCATTGGATCACAGTTTTCTGCGGTCCCGAAGTCGCAAGACGCAATAGCAAGACGGGCGGACGGTTAAACAATCAGTTGAGTTCCGAACCGATCATCCCTTTGCCATCGTCTACCAACCGACCATAAAGCACGCGGGTGCAGCGGAAGCAGTAAACAATCTCAACCGCCGGGGGCGTAAACGCGCCGTGGAAATTGGTTTGATTTTTTTACATAGTAACACTGTATTCTACAAACTGCAAGGGCGCGGGAGAAAACTGTACCGTGAGTCCTTAGCCTATCTAGTAAATACAATTACTTAGCACCTGTTGTACACAGATATAATGTCTATTAAAATTACTACGTAAATAATAGGTATATTGAGCTCATTCATAAATTAACGTTTCGTATATTGACTCATTTTAAATGAACACATTTTTACCAAATGGTGCACGTGGGACTATTAAACGCATGTCAGTTGTTTGTTGAATAAAAATAATCTTTATTGATACCCAATAGGTATGGCTCCTACTTCAAATGAAATTGTTTATTGTATTTGTAACCCAGTTATATCAAAGTTAATGTTTTATTTCAATTCATTCATTATACATATTTCAAAGTTCATGGAATCCACGCTACTGATGAAAATGATAAAAAAACATGGTAGACAGGCAGTCCCAAGTCATAGTCGTCAGTTGAAATTAAGTTTTATGCACAATCAGAGGCGCTAGTGTAGTATAACAACAACCTCCAAAACCGCTATTTAATAATGAATGGACTAACAGGACATTAAAAACGTCGCTAGCGCCATCTACCAAGCGCAACAAGTCTTTGAAAAGAGGTAGTTTGGACGTTAGTCCCACGTGATTAGCGGCAGCTAAGGAACGATAGTTCCTAAGCTGTTGCATCTAACTCCTTGAACACGTATGTGATCTTCATGATGGCCAGCCAGAGAGCTTCGTCGGTGATCTCCCGGTGTATGGTGAACCTCACCGTCTTACTGTTGAAGTATATCGATTTCACAATTACACCCTCGTCGTTTGGTGTTTTACAGTCACCCTGTAAAATTATAACAAGTCTTTTATTTTCGAAAAAACGTGGATCTATGAAACATTCTGTAATAAATAAATGGTACCTACAAAGATGAACTATATTGTGCTTTTCATACTAAACATTTGAGAATAACTTTACCTAATTAAATACCACTACATGTGGTCCTTTATGTTCTCATATACCTGTGTCTCCGCGAGGCAGACCTGTGCAAGCCTCGCCACCACCTTCTGTGCAGTTAGAGAGCTGGTCTCCGGGATCCTCACGAGGATTATATTGCTGTGCTGGCCCTCCACGTCCACTGTGAAAGACTTCAGGAACAAACCCTCGATCACTGGAATATTAAAATAATATTTTAACAAAAGATTCAAACTGAACTCTTCCAGCTGTTATGAAGGTAATTCATATTATAAAAAAAATACCTACATAGAATAGGTATTCTGTTTTCCGATCCGAAGCCAGTCAGTACGTAACTAAACTAAAATTGGGTTAGGACCAATTAAGGACTTCGATGCTTCAATACACCTGGCATGATGACATACTTTAAGGAAAACCTACAAAAGCTCGAGTCACTCTTAGTCTTGGGTTTAATAATTCACAAAATTACGCATTCATTGCTTCAGCAACTGCTGTTTTTTTATGGCATAAGCCGGTAATCGGGCAGACGTATCACCTGATGGTAAGCAATCGGCGTCGCCCATGGACACCTGGAACACCAGAGGCGTTACAAGTGCGTTGCCGGCCTTTTGGGGATTAGGAGTTTGAGGATCGTTGGGGATTCAGGAACCTGACTCACACGACGAAACACAACGCAAGCGTTGCTTCACGTCGACGTCGGTTTTCTGTGAGGCCGTGCTATCGCTCCGGTCCAGGTTGGGAATAAAACTACACATTTCCTATGAAATCAGTGTCTGCATCAATATACCTATAATATATATATGACTGGGTATTCGGATAGGTATGGAGGCAATAAAAATAAGGCATGTAGATAATACTTGAATAAGTTCTACTTAATAGTTTCTGTTGAAGCCTTCAACTTCAATTCTCATACTTAATATAATTATGATAAAAGAATGTTTGTATGACAAGAAGTATTATAAGTAACCTTTAGCCATGATATTCGCCCGCTTATGGTCGAGCTTGAGCTGCGGTACGACCTCATCCAAAGCGACAATGGCGGCGGCAGCCAACACGCCAGCCTGTCGCATCCCACCGCCAAGCAATTTCCGCATGCGACGCGCTCTGAGGACGATATTTTATACATCAATCAAAGAGCATTATAATTTATACATTAGCAAGTAGGTAAGTTTTATTTAGATTTGTCAAAAGCAATCGCTTTTCATGATGCAGCCTATCAAACGATTGTTAAAGTGTTTACGATTTTGCATATGAATCATAATTATCACATAGGTGACATCGCAACTTACTTAATGCCAAAAACTGCATGATTCAGCCGTTTGACCAAATTCTTATCAGTAGATATTATCACACTTCGGTCTCCGGGTCAAACAAAATAGGTAGGTAGATAGATAATAATAGATAATTCCCCAATATTTATGTTTTATAAACGCGAATAATAGCAAAATTCAAAAAGTAAATGTGTAAACTCACTGTTCAATAAAATGATAAGAACCAACGAGTCCGGAACCGACAGGGGCTGACAGACCCTTGCTGAAGCAGACGGATACGCTGTCACAATCCCTTACGACTCGACTGGGGTCCTCCTTCAGGTACTCGCAAGCGTTGAACAGCCGAGCGCCATCCATGTGCAGCGGGATATTGTGACGCTTGCAGATAGCTGACAGGTCGTCAAGAAACTTCAGTGGTAACGCCTGGAACGAAATAATGGTTGGTTTAAAGTACAATTGTAATAATGATCTACGTCTGGTTCCTTGTAAGTGGTAGTAAATGAAAGGATGGAATGCGAAAGACAGAAACATAGCAATGGAATAATGGATCCGTGTTAAAACATGGAAGGCTTTTTAGCAAAACAGGTAACAAAGGACGTGGGATGAGCAGTTTTTGGAATGAATGGTGTGAAGTTATGTTACAATGACTTTTGTGAATAAAAAGCAAATGACGTCACCTTTGCATTTGGAATAACTACCCATTAACACTGAATAGGTTAAAACATTAAATAATCTTACAGATAAAGCTTCACAAGTGGTATGCTATAATAATAAAAGATAAGTACAAATAAATTATGGCCTACATCTCGGTTGATTTGTTCAAAATATACAGTGTAATAACAGATAATAGAGTGTTATCAAATGCTGTGCCATCATTATATTATAGGAACTAATTTTCAGCTTATCTTAATCTAACTATCAGACAGCTGCATCGACGGATGTGTATATAGTAAAAAGAAAATATAAACTCAGTCTGTTAGGACAAGTTTCCGAATGTCAGCAAGTTATATCGTAATTGGTAAGTGTATCAATGTATGGGAAGCACTGACCTTACCACCACAGCAAGTGTGGGTGTTTTCGACGGAGACCAGCGAGGTGAGAGGGTCGTGGTCCCTCGTCTTCTTTTGCGAAGGTTTCTGCATGCAAATATACAACTAGCATTTCTACTAACCGCTTAGTACTTAGAGTGTTAGTTAAAATAGTCTTTAATTTATACTACCTATCTGTTATCTCATTTATACTTTTTTATATACTTGATAGGATGACGTTTGGCCACCATCTCGCCTGGTGGTAAGCGATGATGTGGCTGACGATGGAGCACGCCTACCTATGAGCAACATGTTCACTCGGGACTTGAAGACATCCGAGTTGTACCTATTTGTCGGGAAGCGCAGATTCTAGCAAGAAATTCCATTCCTTAGCTGTTCGGTTCGTGCGAATGGGTGGGAACACTGAACATATAAATGTTCTGTGGGTGGGACATTCCACCATATATGCCTATAAGGGTGGCGCCCTGGCGTTCGTCTGTACGTGGTACAGTGTTGAAAAGGACTAGGGGGATAAGGTGTGTACATAACAATATGAATTATACCTATGATATATCACAGACGAGACATAGCCATAGTCTTCGAGGATAGAATACAAAATGCAGGTACACGTCAATGCAAGCACAATAATGAATGTGGAAAAAACTAATGATATGCACTAGAATCGGAACATTTGTTGTGCTATGCAGTCGGCTCCGTTAATCCTACTGTCCAATATCTATAGTGAGTATTTGTAAACCTGGAGGGTATTAAACTTTGGTCAAAAAAATGTTGCTAACTAGTTACTGACCTTACCACCGCAACAATTGTGGGTGTTCTCAACAGCTACCAGCGATGTGATGGGCTCGTGTACGTCGGTGCCTCGGATTCTACTCTCCAGCTCCTGCAGGTCGAAGGTGCCATCAGGTTTGTTTGTTAAAGTCGACAGGAGGACGCCTGCTGCGTGAGCTGCACCACCTGGATCATCATAATGTCTTATTAGGCCAGTGAAAATACTTGCGTTGCCTGAACTCCTTCGGTTCCATCATTTAGTTAAAATCTCGCGTCTTTCTGAAGGTTCTAACAAAATATTTAAACTGATATGTACCTTGTTCATACTTGAAGATATGCGACTGGTTTCCGACGAATGCCTCTGATCCTCGCTTGTTGCAGTGCACCATTACTGGAAACAAATTGATATTAACGGTAACCATATTTATAGAAGTTTATTATTCTGTCTAGATAGTTTTATTATGATCAGTAATAGCATCAGTAGCATGAAGTTTGAAATGGACCTTAAATTGCCAAACCAAAGAAGCACTACAGAATACTACCCTAACTTCTTTTCATTATTTTCAAAAATGTCAGTGGATGCAGCATGAGAGAGGGAGAGAGAGAGAGAGAGGCCCTCTTACGTAGCGAAGGCTCATAGTGTAGCCGTTGGCTGTCACGGTCTGATGATGGTTCTTACCGGCTTGGTCAAATTTTAGAATATTCTACCGGATAAGTCAAGGCATAGGAGATAAGAAAACACGTACAGCCAAGGTTGTTTGCCAGTAGAATATAAATTTATACGTGACAACATAGGACGGACAGGCAGACAAGACAGGTGATGCGACCATATGTCAAAGTCAAGTCAAAGTCAAAAATCATTTATTTCAATTAGACCAGGAAGGCACTTTTGAACGTCAGCAATAGAAATTTAAAAATGAAGATATTTGCTCATTCCAAGGTGTAGATTCCTATGGAGAAGAACGAGCAAGAAACTCCATAGGTTACTCTTTTCCAATCAGTTTCACAATACAATTCTTCAGTTACACAGTTTTATTGGTTTGATTGTGCGAGAACAATGTTACACCAAATCTAGCCAAAGAGATCGAATAGACTGTATATATATATGTAGGAGGAAGACGTCAAATAGACTGCAAATTCGGTATAGTTAGGCGAGAACGCAATTAAGCTCACTTCGAAATTTCAAATTGACAGTTACCAGAATAACCTAGCAGGTACAAGTACACTAGGTAGGTACCTACTTAATATACAACTTTATTTAGGTTCGAAACTTAGGTAGTTTTCAAAAAACGACGAAATTATGTTATGAAAATCATCACATATCTGATTGATAGTATCATAACGTAACATAACATAACATAACATCACGCCTTTTATCCCCGAAGGGGTACGCAGAGGTGCACATTACGGCATTTAATACCACTGTACAATGTAACACCCACTTTTCACTATTTATGTTAATTAGTCCCATGTAATAGGGGTGAACCTATTGCCAGGGCCGGATTTAGGGGTCCAGAGGCCTCGGGGCAACAAAGGAGTAGAGGCCCCCTTGCCCCAAATTATTTTCCAGATTGAGATCGAGGACGCTCGCTTGATTTCGAGGACGCTCGAAAACGATCGAGGACGCTCGATTGATTTCGAGGACGCTCGATAGATTTCGAGGACTCTCGGTAGATTTCGAGGACTCTCGAAAACGATCGAGGATGCTCGATAGATTTCGAGGACGCTCGACAGATTTCGAGTTTAAGAATTGAAGAATACCAATTGTTCACATACCGCAATTAATTTTTTTAATGGTCGAGACACGGAATCGTATAGCCAACCTCCGAGGTTGCGGGCAAGTACCATCCCACTGAGCCATTGAGCCATTGGGGTACTCCCTCAAGATGGGTAGTAAATTGGAAGTGCTTATCAGAGCCATTTGAGATTTTGATATTTCACTGATTGCCTGATTGGAGTGAATAAATATAGAGCAATGATTTCTGTTTCTGTTAATATTTAAAATTAATGTAATCAAATAATCATGTATGTAGAGGTATAAAGTACTTTAGGCTGTAGGTAAAAGTAAAAGCGAAAAAAAAATTTCAAAGAAAAGATGTTTACTAGGTTTACTAGTTGAAATTTGAAAGATTTTTTTTTCCGAAGTCTCTATTGTGGAGGCCCCCTGCTTGTGGAGGCCCCGGGGCTTTCGCCCCGGTTGCCCCCCCCCCCCCCCCCCCTAAATCCGGCCCTGCCTATTGCCATATACTGGGCACAATTCCAGACACCGTGCTACCATGGATTTTTTTGGGATTTTTTTAAAAAAACCTTATAGTACTTTGCCCGTCCCGGGAATCGAACCCGAGACCCCTTGCCCGGTAGTCGCACTTGCGACCACTCGGCCAACGAGGCAGTCTATCAGACGTACGTTAACGTCTGCTTAATTTTATTTGCAAAACAAATTGAATGAAAAAAAACCATGAAACAATGAGCTACTCGAAGCATCCTAATTCCTAGTTGTATCCATGTTATGATCACATACACGTGTCGTGTAGAACGGATGAATATAATCATACACAATCGTCTTATGAATTGGGCAACCACTTCGCAGTGCCAATCTGTGGGTCAGTCCACTGTCCACGGGACCATCTGTCTTCAATCTTCGTGCTTATTCTGTTAAATGATTGATGTACTACAGTTGTTGTTGGTCTTGGCACATTAATGCCTTGTGAGTTGATCGTTTGTATCACCCCATTGAAAGTTTAATCACGTACTATACCTGTATACTTACCTTAACACCAACACTTGCGTTTTTAAAACAAGTGTGATTTAAATAAATACTTATTCCTTACTAGTCCTTACTAATATCCTTACTAATATTATAAATCGGAAAGTGAGTTAGTTTGTTTGTTTGTTTGTTCCACTTTCACGCCGTAACTACTAAACCGATTGCTTTGAATTTTTGCAGATGTGCAGTTAGAAGTCTGGATTAAATAATAGGGTCCTTACTAATATTATAAATCGGAAAGTGAGTTTGTTTGTTTGTTCCACTTTCACGCCGTAACTACTAAACCGATTGCTTTGAATTTTTGCAGATGTGCAGTTAGAAGTCTGTTTTATCCCGGAAAATTTGATATTCTCGAGGGAAAACGAAATTATTGGTATAGATGGCGCTGTGTGTACGGGTATATGTCACATAGGCTTTTTATCCTTTTGTGACGCGAGCGAAGCTGCGGGTAAAAGCTAGTACTTAATAATTTACATATTTAAAAAAATTTTTGGTTTGTAATTTTTTTTAATTGTCATTTGCAATTTGTAACAAGAAACATTTTAAAGAGGAGCAACGTGTCATGAAACCTCTCGATTTATTTTTATGAGGTAGGTAGGTAGGTAGGGGTGGACCCCTGGACGTGACTTTGCAAAGCCACGTAATTATTTAAGGAACAATCAATTAATTGTTTAATTGATAACAATGAAACAGCAAATAAAGAGTAAGCCGATTAGAATCTATTAACATCTGGTACCTATTCAGATAAAATTAATAACTTTATCTGTTATTATAACGGAAGAAATTAAGTAGTTAGGTATCTTGTACTAATCATTGCTTAGCCATCTGCTTTTCGCGTGTTTTTAGCGTACCTAGCTATTAGTAGGTACAAGATAGCCACGTCAGAAATATCACGTATGAAATATCTAAAATTGGAATGATGACGGTGTATAAAAATTAAAAATCTATTTAGTCCGTAAGTTAGGTAATGAAAAACTATTAGACACGTATTTTTTTTATTTTGTTGTAGGTATAATAAAATAATACTTAGATAAAACGAATCAAAGTTTTAGTTTTAGACGTTTTAGCTCCCACTCCTAGTGGGGGCTAAAACGTGATTTCTACGTATAAAATGTACATAGAAGTGACGTCACGCGACAATTCAAATCAGTATATCGTCGAAAGTATTCCTTTCTGTAGGAAAATAAAAACTACGTGTCTAATGATTTAAAATAATCTACCAGACGGACATTACAATAAAAATTAGGCATCTACCCTATTGGAAATATATTACCTAACTTGTTACGTGGATTGATGATTTAATAAGATGTAATATGTGATATCATTGAGCAACAACCAAGCGTAGTAGAGTTATGGACTGTATGTCCAACAAATTCTAGAAAGATAATTTATAGGTAGGTCGGTACTAATAGTAGAAGTCAGTAGGTTCTGAAAAAGCCGTGTGGTGTTTAGAAGAACTACAATTTGCCAGAGACCGCACAGAAGTGATCTATGATAGACCAGAACCTTTTGAACCCGCCTACCTGCCATACCAAATGCCCTTATTATAAACCCTCTTATGTAGAAGACCTGGAGGAGAGGGGAGTGGACACTGGACTGTCACTGATGGGTTGATGTTGATTTATTCAAAGAGAAAAGGATATATTCAATTTAGGTAATTTATGCGCAGCTTTATGAAGATTTTAATTAAGAATTCCCGATCGTCGCTACCGTTAGGCGATAGAAGCGATTTACGTCGCACCATAGGTCGATGTCTCATTTCTCTAAATTCCGGTTATAAGACATAGATTCTTGAGTGTATTGCTCCAAAGAGTTTGAAGGTCATGAGTAGAACAAACTAGACCGCGAGTTATTGGTCTCACAAAATGTCTAAAATAAGGCAACGAAATTAGGCATAAAATCGCTTTTTGTGTTTAGATTTTGTTCATTGATGGATGTAATAGACACATTTTTTGCTAAAGAATAAAAACTTTAGGCGAAGGTGTTTTAGGATTTTTCGTAGAGATTTTAAGGTAGACCTGGGTACCTACTTATTTTGGAGACTTTTTTTATCGCGAGGGAAATCTAAAGGCACCTAGGTTTGTGGCATTTTTACCTTACTAAAACGACCCCAGTGATTACCAGTCACCCCTCTCAATAGACCAACCTCGGAGTGCCCCAATTCATGTGTAATAGGTAACCATTGGGCAACGCCGCCTGCTACGTCACATCTCAAATCGTCCTATACTAGGGAGACCTGCGGGGGCTGGGAGGACGGCCGGAAAGGCTCAATCGCATGTAAAACAAATAGGTACTTAGGTAAGAATAAATAAATAAAAGCAAGATTGTAGATTAGGTAGAATAAATTAATCTAGAATCTCAATCATGTGTGGTTATTTACCTAGTTTAGTCATTTACCAATTACAAATTACCTACATCTCAAGTTTGTGCTGTGGTTTACAATATAAGCGATAGAAAATGCACAACGAGGCTACATCTCTACGCATTGCCAAAGTGTCTAGCCGGTTTGAAACATCCCAACATCCAACAATCCGAACGGCGCGCCGCTGAGCGCGGTCCAGAGGAAGAAGCTGGTACTGGGGTGCCCCCGCCCAAAGATGAGAACAGTATTCCATGTGGGACCGAACCTGTGCCTTATGCAGGCGGTGGGCCGGGGTGAAATACTGCCTCGATCTGTTGAGCACACCAAGCTTCCTCGAGGCTATTTTGGCCTTATCCTCTAGATGACCGCGAAACTGGACGTCGCTCGAAATGCTGACACCAAGTATTCCAACACCGGCTGAGGCAGTTAGGTACTTATTGCACGTTGTTAGCTATAAGTTAATTGGACATACTTAGATAGATTTTGACTGGAATCTAAAATACTAATAAATATTAGAACTAATTGCTTATGGGAAACACGCTGACCAAAACGACTGGTAGAATGTGAGCCTATTGGCGAACATTGCGATTGATGACTATTGTTATTAAGTACTGTTACCAAGAAATATTGTAATGATTGAAAATTGATAATTTTTTGCGTCCTCAGAATTAAACCTGCTGCCCAGTGCCCTTGGTAACGCATGGTGTTTCAGTTTAGTCGCGTTCAAGTGACCAACGAAGTCTTTAAAAAATTAAAAAATAAATAATGACCTATGATTTAAAAATCGTAATAGTGATGTAACCACTAGGTATATTATGCAATTATTACTTAAGTATTTCTATTTATTAAAACTAAATAATGTAGAAACAGGTGTTGTTAAAAATATATTGTAAGAAAAATAAATACTTAAGAGTATAAGAAGTAAATTCTTATTTAGAAAATCTGAAAAGTTAAATGAGTTGCTAAAATATGATTAACTGTTGCGGGAGTCGAGACTCGACCGAAATAACTTTAGACAGAATATGTATTACCATAGTACCTATTACCTATTTTACTTTTGGAATAAGTAGCTAATACAATGACAAATAGCCAGTATGAAGGCCAAATAAATACATAATGTTATGTATGGAAAACTAAGTAAACGAGTAGGTACTCACTTGCTATTAGATTGGCCATCGTGCCAGAAGGTACGAACAAGGCTGCCTGCTTCCCCAGCATAGCTGCTAACTTGCTTTCCAAGGCATTTACTGTAGGATCTTCGCCGTAAACATCATCGCCTAATGCTGAATTAACCATGGCATGCTTCATAGCCTCCGTAGGCTTTGTCACCGTATCTGATCGCAAGTCTACTATGTATGCCATGGTAAATAATGTTTCGTATAAATCAAATACTTTATAAAAAGTAACCTAACCACCAGTCTAACTGGAAGCCGGCAGGCAAGTGTCGAATAACAACTGTGAACGTCGCTACATAAGCAACATTTAAGATAATAATCGAGTGGTTCTTGTTCTTTTATCATAAATATCAATATTCTCTCCTTGAACTACGATAACTTATGAAATACCACAAGGAGTCAAAATAAATACTCGATTGTAGTTTTTTTATTGTAAGCGACGCGTTTATTATTTATTGGTAATCGGATGATTAGACACTTTGGACATCTCTACCTTATCTCAATCTTATCTAGAATTTATTCAAAATGTTACCTTATAGGCAGGTGATAAGGGTTAGTTTTGTTTAAAAGCCTTATAATGTGACATTGTTCCTGTTTCTGATGTTGGTGTTATTGCTTACATTCGGATATTCAAAATTACTATCGTTTTATAATAATTTCTGTATTTTTAATTCAATGAACTATTTTAGATCTGGACAGCACGATACAGTACTTTAATCTCCTTTTCCGAGAAGGGTACGCAGAGGTTAAAATTTCAGGGGATCGATTGCGGCATGGACACGAATAAAATATCTTTTCGAACCTCCTTCTTTTTCTTCTTTCCACGCGAAACACAATTTTCTATTTATCAACCTCTACTTAAAACATTTTCGTCAACCAAACCATTCTAATACCTACATAATAATAAATAATATTATTACAGTGTACCTACCTAAGTACTCATCATCACTATCACTATCACTACATGGTATAAAACAAAGTCGCTATCCGCCGTCTGTCTGTTCCTGTGTATGCTTAATCTTTAAAACTACGCAACGGATTTTGATGCGGTTTTAGAATGATTCTTAAGGAAGGTTTATATGTCTAATACATGCATATTTGACCCGTGGGAAGCCGGGGCATGTTGTCATGACATGAGACATGAATATAACAACGCGTAGATGTTACAGTAACAGTCTTGCACTGTCTGTTACTGCACTGCATGCTACACTATGAAGTATGACCCTCCCTTTATAAGAGGAGGACGAGGAGGTGGATAATTAGACTTAGAAAACCGGCCAAGTGAGTCGCACTTGAAGGATTCCGTAACATTCCTTCATTTAGGTATTCATTCAAGCAATCAATTTTCATCTTGGTTTTTTGTGGAAGTATAGCAGTTGTTGGTATAGCAGCAATAGAAATATCTACATCATCTCCCCAAATATCAACTGTCTAGCTATCATGGTTCATGGTACGATGACAAACAGACGGTTATTGAAGTCTTACTAGAATAGGATCCCCGTAATAGAATAATAAAATGGAAATCAATAGGTTAAAAAAACAACCCTTACTACAAGTTCACTGTCCATCCCCATAGCGACTGTAAACGCTTGTAGTTACAGTACAATTTAACATTTTTCTTCTTTGAAGATTGGTCTTAATAAAACTTTATCACTTCCAAATAAAATTAACCGTGATGTATCCGAATTTAAAATTCATTGCAGATTTTTCACTGAACGCTACTAAATAACTGAACGCGTCCATATTTTGTTCTCGACACATAACTGAGTGACAGTTGGGATATCCTTAGTTGTCATTGGTCAGAACAGCCATTACAGTGTATTAGTATAGTCTATAAGCCAATCCCTACACGAATCGGTCCAACGGTCATAATACAATTTTTGTAATCGAAATCTAACCTTGACGACAAGAAAGAAGTGTCGGCGATAAGTCGTTGGCTTATTTTAGTTGTTTTTCTATTACAAAAGTGCATTTTAGTTAGTTATTTGCGGCGGGAACATGTTAAATGCATGTTCATCATTTGGATAATATAAAGTTCAACTTTCTAGTTTAGTAATACAACGAAAATTGTATTCTTATTTCGGCTAAAATCAACGTGAATCGGGCGTCGACCGGTCCATCCCTTCTACCCGTAACCGTCGCCTGCTGTCAGTCGTTCGCTATCGTCATTTTGTACGAATCAGCGCCGTCCGCGACACGGCAAACGCGAGGCAAGAGAACAACGCCGTGTGATAGCAATAAGTAGAAACGTGTGTTGTGGTGTGCCGGTCTTAGTGACCGTTTAATGTGGTATCTAGTGTCGGTGTTCAACTGTCGTACGGGCCGCGCGGCGTGATCAGGCGGCACGATGGTGGACATGGATAGGAACGATCCGGAGCTCCGGTACTTGTCGGTGGATAGGAACAGCTTCAACGACCCCGCCACACAGGCAGAATGGACGCAGAAGAGACTAGTTTGGGTGCCCCACGAGACCCAGGGTTTCGTGGCGGCTGGGATCAAGGGGGAGCGTGGGGATGAAGTGGAAGTGGAGATAGCGGAGTCAGGGAAGCGTATCCTTGTTCCTATAGATGATATTCAGAAGATGAATCCCCCAAAGTTTGACAAAGTAGAAGACATGGCAGAGCTGACCTGTTTGAATGAGGCGTCTGTATTGCACAACATCAAGGACAGATACTACTCTGGACTGATCTATGTAAGTATTCCATTCCCATTCATGTAATGTAAGAAACTTGCTTTAATTTTCAGGAACATAGAACACTAGCAACACACTACTGAAATTAATCATAATATTATCTGCTACACTGAATTCAGGATGGTTATCTTATCTTTGAACTCTTAATCATCAGTTTACACCCAAATAAAGTAAAAGTACTGACTTGAGGACATATTTTTAGCACAATATCGGTAAAGATAATGTTTCTATGAAACTTTTTAGGTAGGTACTTTTTATACCATAAAATAAATTTTAGCATTATAAAATTTAACTTTTACTATCTTTTTTACTTTTACTTCACCTATCTTTAAATTGGACATTAATAGGAATATCTTGCGACAACAATTGAAACTGTAAGGTGGATCTGTTGAACTAGCATCAAGATATGCTAAATGAAACTTATAAGAATTTTAATAATTCAAATAAAAGCTTATGTAGGTAAATAATCACCAGCTTAATGATCTTTGTTCTAAGGACATGCAATCCCTGTTGTTATTCAAAAAAAGTGTGAACTATACCAATTTTGACATCATGTTATTTAAGTACAAATTTATAATGAAACAAGAACAATACTTTCAGTAATTTCCAGTATCCAGCACTTCTGTTCAATTTATCCTATTTAAAATTTAATTCCACTGCTCAATCAAAGAATTTACCTTTAAAAACCGAAGACTGAATTCTCAACAGTTAATTAACAGATACTAGAACAACAGAAGCAATAGATAAACAATTACAAACATTCTTTAATCTGTCAAATACCAAGCGGTCACCGGTGACCGCGACCTATTGTTCTTTAATTGTGTCTATAAAACCGGTACTCGACGAGTTAAAGTCAATAATTATACCTTTCCCTTTTAACTATGGCTACACCTAACAGATGTACACGAACCTACATTGCTGTAAGCACTCGTCATTAAAGAAATAATTACATATACATAATATTCCCTAATGAGACTTTTTAAACCAATAACCATATTTCAAGAATGTACGAAGGCTACAATGAATCATAACTTACATAAATATGAAGTCATACCTTGAACAAAACCTTTTTGGTAACTAATGTATTGTTTGTGATGTTTAAATAATATTATCACTGGTTATTATGTGTATTCTGGCTTTATTTTATCGACTTTCAGTTTGATTTATTTCAGCAGAATCTTACAAAAAGTGATTAATGGTATTGTTCTTATTGGCATAGAGATTTCTTCCTGCCCTCATCTCGGATCTCTAATATTTTATAAATTCATCACTTATCATTATCCCCATAGAAAACTTTTACTAAGTTTTTGATTTTGAAGAATACTAGGACTGCCTCATTGGCAGAAAGTGTGACTGCCAGGCAAGGTGTATCGGGTTCGATTCTCAGGTTGGTAGACAAAAGTAATACTGGTTTATTTTTAAATTATCAGTAGTAGCACATAGTCTGGAATTGTGCCCAGTATAATATGGCAATAGGCTCACCCCGTACTACATGTTTCTTATAACATAAATAGTAAAATGACCAGTGGCATTAAGTGCTGTAATATGCACTTCTGCCTAACCTTTCGGGGATAAAAAGGCTGTTTTGATAAATTCCGATCGCCACACCCTTCATTAGTACCAAGCTCCATATGAGATAAGATAAATTCCATTGTTATTTCAAATGTACTGTATTTAGCATTTTCCTGCATTTAGTACCATATATAGCAGTATCACAGTCATATTCAATAAACCAAATGCAGGATAATGTAGGTACTTACAGACAGCCATATTAATTTAACCTATATCTATTTACCTTGTTATTTAATAGAATTATTGTTTCTGTTCGAAAATGTAATGTTTATATCCATGTTTTTTTATTAGCTATTTGGGAGACACGATTAGATTTAGCAGTTTTTATAACCAGTTAGAGTCTCATAGTATTCACTGACAATTCTAATAAGTTTACAACCCGTATTATTTGTATTCTAATAAGTTCGTCTTTGGACTCGCAGAAAAGATGAATGTGACATAAAACTCCCCTGCCTGTCCCTTTAAGCACTAAAGGTCTGATGTTGTTATTTTATTATGCCAAAGAAATGGATTATAATTTTTTATCAGCTGATACCCTTGTTTATTATAATTTAGTTGTTACACAGAATTTGATCATCAAAGTCTTATCATTAGTCATAATATTTAAAAAGAATTGATATGAAATTATGTCGAATTTTGTCAGTACTCTAAGTACAGTATGATAATGTCAATATTTATACCTAATCTATTTTCCTGTCACTTAAAAAGGAGGGGAAAATAGTATCGTAATGTAAAGAGTTCAGCGAATCACATGATATCTCCGATTATGTGTAGAAAATCTATTGCCAAAGTATAAAAAACTGTATTCAAGTTGATTGACAAGCAGTAAAGATCAGTCAAGCAAACATATGGTCACCATTCTCCACTACAACACTGGTCGACCATATGGTCCATTATAAAATTATCCATCGCTATTCATGAAAGCATGAAGCTTATGACACATTATACTTCTCCTAATATGTCCAGGTCACACATACATGCACACCATACATAGTACATGTTACCAATTTACAAATTCTTATATGGCTGACAACACTGATTATTTACCCTGTGTGTTGCCAGTATGATGCTTTTGTAGACAATTAAATGTATTAAGTTTGTCATAATTGTTGTAAAGGATGCATATGCCTGCCTTGGCCCACTTTATTTTGTTTAATAATTAAATTCTTTCAATTTGTGTGTGAGGTTATATTTAATTACTTCAACAATGCAATTAATATGAACAGATTTTTGCTTTGTTATTGAATTTAATGTGTGCATAATATTCTTGCTATATTATTTAACTACCTAGTCGTATTACATTTTTTGTCTATACTTTTTCGTACATTTCCTTTTAATTCTTATTAGTCTAAAGTCTAAGGTCTATATTGCAACTCCTTAAATATGTGTCGTAATTCTAACGCTTTATTTACCTTATTGCCAGCCATGGACCCATACACATTGTTGATAACAACTTGCGTTTTATTACAAGACTCATTGGTACGATTTCTGCATAAATTAGGTATGAAACAAATAAATATTGTTGCATGTAATTTTGAAAGGTCATAAAATCTTCACCTTCAAAAGAAGATAATCATCTTTTCTATAGAGATTTCAAATTTTGTTGTAATAGTTTTATGCCTTTTCGCGTATGCTCTCGAATTCAAAAGTATTCTCGAAAAAAAAAAATAGTACTGATATCGATTCATTCATTTTGTTCTAAGAAATTGCCAATATTTAAGATCACTTACAATCATCGTGGTGGCTGGTTCACAAAATATATTAATCCACCCAATCCATGACACTAGGAAGACAATATCTAAATCAAAAACCAACAAAATGTAAAAAATTTCAAGGTTAAAAATATACATTGCAATATGACAAAAATGTCCAGAATTGGCGCTAAAAATAAAATCAAGATGGCGGTATTTCACCTAACAATACACTAGTTAATTATTCCAAGTCTTAAGTACTAGTCCGCATGCAATCGTAAGTCGTAAGTGTCATCAATTAAAGCCATGTTCGCTATATTAATGGAGCGAGAAATCCTTTCATTTACATGACAAAGGTTTGCCACCACTTATTGTCGGGTGGTGACCGCCAGCGATTGTCCGAACAGTTGCTAGTCATGTAGACAGACAAGGTATTCAGCCTGGCTGTACACAGCTGCATAACATAGATACAAAATAAACTAACATTACTACCACTTTTCCAGGATTTTATTTATTTATTTATTTATTAACGCTTCATGCACAAAGTGTACACAAGGTGGACTTAATGCCGCAGGCATTTTCTCCCAGTCTGACCTTTGGGTGATGCAGAGAAGAGTGAATGGTAGGAGCAAGAAGCAAGCAACGATTTAATTGAGAAAATAGAAGATTATACTAACATATATCAAATATGAACATAAATAAATATAATAATAATATATATACCTACACACGAGTACACTGCAATATACATACATACATACATACATACATAGACTCATAGCATATAATATAAATATGAACATAATTACTAATACTCTGTAAATAATTATTGTGATGATTCAGCCAACCTCTTCAAGAGAAGCTCACGTACTTTCTGCTTAAATGTTAAACGTGTCGACACCATCCTGACATCCAGGGGGAGCGCATTCCACAGCAAAATTGCCTGCACGAAAAAGGAAGAATGAAAGAAGTCAGTGTGATGAGTGGGACATTGGAGAAGACGGTTATGGGAAGAACGAAGGTTTTTACTGTGGTTTGCGCACAAGTATTGAAAGTAAGGGGATAGATAACTGGGTAAAGAAGGTGAACAAAGAAAGGAGAATAGAGTGGTAAGCGCCCTTTGCTCCCTGCGCTGGCGTATGGGCAGCCACTTTAGTTGCAGCCGATGTGCAGAAACATGATCGTATTTACGCAGGTTGAAAACGAATCGAATGCAGTTATTTAGAAGTCGGTCGAGCTTATTGAGGAGATCTGCATTCAGGTCGTAGTAGCAGACATCAGCATAATCGATGATAGGGAAAACCAAGGCTTGCACCAACATGGCCTTCGTAGCGGGAGGAAGCAAATTTTTTACGCGATACAGAGCACGCAATGATCCAGTAACCCCTCTGCATACATTAGTGATTTGAGCATGCCACTTTAAATTGCAGTCAATATGCAAACCCAGATTTTTGACGTCAGTACCAAACGGAATTACTGCACCATCAAAGAGCACGGCTGGTAATGATGCTCGGTCAATCCTACCTAGCGTACGGGAGCTACCCAATATAATAGCCTGGCATTTGCCGGGATTAACTGATATACCGAATCTCTCGGACCAGTTCTTAATGGATACCAGGTTACCGTTCATCTCCGAGATCGCATCAGAGAGCCTGTCAATTTTTTTGCCATCTCCCAATTTTTATTAATGGTTGAAGCATCACCTTGTTCCAAGATGTCTAATCTAGAGACAGAATG